AATTTTATTTACAAAACCAGTTAAAGGAGAAATTTAATTAAACAAAACTATGATTTTATCAAGCGTTTAACAAGTAAAAAACTGAATATGTACCTAAGGAAAAATAGGAAATGTTTCAAAGTAAATTTTCAATATGTCCACCATTCACCTCGATGCACTTGTCCATACGATTTATGAAAGATCGTCTAATATTAAATAATACCATTGGATCAAAAAAAGTTGAGGCATTACTAATTTCTTGCCAAAGTTGGACGCGAGTATTTATAGTGTTTTTATAAACAATTTCCTTCATTGTGCCCCATACACCAAAATCTAAAGGGTTGAAGTCTGGACTACGTGGCGGCCAAGGAAATATACTACCACGGCCAATCCAACGTTCAGGAAAGTGTTGGTTTAGATATGTTCTTACTTGATGAGTAAAATGTGGCGGAGCGCCATCTTGCATGAACCACATATTTTGCCTCAAATTCAGTGGTAACGCATCCAATAGATCAACAAAGCTATTTTCTAAAAAATTTAAATAACTTGTACCATTTAAATTTCCTGGCAACTCATATGGACCTAGAAAATGGTTTCCAATGATCCCACACCAAACATTAATCTTAAATTCATGTTGAAAGTGCCGTTCTCGAGTTACATGAGGATTTTGAACTTCCCAACAATGCTTATTTCTTAAATTGAAAATACCTCGGCGAGTAAATGTCGCTTCATCTGTAAACAATATTCTGTTGACAAATGTATAGTCAGTATTCTGCTTGTTCCGAATATCACTTGCAAATTGATATCTTGAAGGAAGATCGACAGGTAATAAATTTTGAACTGGTGTAAAATGATATGGATGATATTTTTCTTCATGTAATGTCTTTAAAATTGATGTTTTATTAATTCCCGTGGCTGCAGCTAATCGTCTTGAACTAGTTTGTGGATCATCTGCAATGCGAATTAGTATTTCGTCTTCCTGGTCAGGCGTAATCATTTTTGGTCGACCTAAATTATCACGTTTAGGACGAAATGAACCACTTTCGCCTAAGTTTCTGAATAGATTTTGAAACAGTCGTTTACCAGGTTGCAATCTGTTTGGAAATCTTCGGCAATATTCACGTTGCGCAGCACGTCCATTGAAATTTTGTTGACAATAAACAACCGTCATATCTCTCATTTCCAAATTCGAGAAATTATTATGTCTCGGCATAATTCGTTATTTTCTTTTAAATACTTAATTGATTTTTACCAAAAATTAATAAATACAATTTGAATTAATTGCTAACCGTCACAATGATTTTTTCTAATTGTCAAAACTGTCTTGGCATTGTCGCACACTACGATAAAATTTCCTGTAATGAAACATGCAGCAGATTGTTGAAATGCGTTTTTCTTGAAAACGGACAATTTCTAGAGCTAATGACAAGTATACCATTTTTTCACGAAAATAATGTAGGTTTAAGATTTTTAAAAAAAAGAAGCGTTAACGTTGTGGATAAAAAAATTATGCTCGTATTTACGTCATAAACACGGCGTATGTGGCGCCCTCTAGAAGATACATCGAAATAGATAACAAATTATGATTTCTCGTATACAAAAACATCTACCCCTAAATTTTCACGTTCATACACTCAAAAATATTATAATTATTACGAAAATTCAATTTTTAATTTCCAACTTTGACACCCTGTATCTTTTTTGTTATCAACATTTTATTAAGGCATGTTGGCTCCAATCGTAATATTTTGAAGTAAAACATCTAGTATGTCTCTGTGGACCATTACTTACAGACCACCCTGTATAATATGTACCTACATATTAAGTGTAACATGATTTTATATCTTTGTTTTTGAAAGATAAAATTGTAAATATTTTCAAATTAATATCAATTTAAAATAAGTAACTAATTTTACGATGTGGAAGATTTAGTTCTATTTCCAAGACGTTAAGAAAAATATATTCAATTTTTTTCAGATTTCGAATACAACTGATTATTCTCTTTGTAAATAGGTTCTAGTATATCCAGACAATTTTTGTTGACCGAAACTAATACAAAAATAGATGGCTCGAAACTAGGTAAACAAAGCAACGAAATTGCTAACTCTTTAGCTACACTATAATTAATATTATCCTTCACATGCTGAAAGAGGGCGGGTCTTTCAGGAAATAACTCCACGTCATTGGCGACGCCTGACTCCTCTGTCAGGGAGGCAGCAATCGCTCCTCTTTCCATTGGCTGGACCGAGAAGCTGTATCTTCCATGAAATGCTGATATCTCAACTCGTATCATTCTATTCTTATGTCCTATATACAAGATTTGTTATATTCGCGCCTGTGATACAGATATTCGGAGGTAATTTTGTGTGTGAGATTTTCAAGTGTTTCTGGTGTTAATTAACAGTTGTGACAATTTGTTGGGGTTTTGTGCTGTTTTGACAGAACAAGGTAGACGTAAAGTTAATGTAACTTGGCCTGCAGTTTTGTACTTTTCTGTAATTATCTCAAAATGAAAATTTACAAATAGATATATGTATATTTAAGACAACGCAAGTGTAGTTTTACTGAGAAACGGGTAAACAACAGTGTTTTTAAGAAAAAAAAAAGTCTGTACATTATTACGTTACAATATTTCTACAGAGAATGTAGGTACCTTTTTTTTTGTAGCTATTTATATTTTATATACACAGTGGAAAGTTTAACTGGAACACATTCTGTAATTTAATAAATAAAGGTTTGTTGCAAAATTTCTGAAACACGTCGATTTTTATTTTCAATGGGGCATATTACAAAGAGGTTTGTTTATTTTTTAGTTATGGAAGGTTGATTCATTTTTTATTTTAAAGCTTTTTTAATCCATAGGTACAATTACGTATTTTTCTGTTACCTTTTATAAAAGCAATGTGTTGGAAAAAATAAAATAAGGAAATGTTTACTGAAACTTCTCTAATGTACAAATTTTTTTCTTACTTGATAAACCACAATAACAACTAGTTTTTTTGGCTAATTTGAACTGAATGTCATTGATTGGTTAGTAATTGTTTGCAGTATAACGTGTAAATTAAAAACCAAATAAGAAAATGCCCTAAATCGCTCGTTTGTTTGTTGATATTCATTCATAAATGCCTCCAATTAATTGTAGTATTATAGCAAAATCGAAACTCGATATCGGGAGTTGGACCACGTGAGGGATGTTCCTCGACACAGGCTTTTAAAAATCGAAGAAACCCTGTTGAACATGTTAATGGATGTTGAAAATTCTGTTACTCCAAGTAGGCAAATAGCTCGCGTTCAGGGTGTCAGTTATACAAGCGTTTTAAAAAATTCTGAGAGAAGCCAAAAAGCACTCATATAAGATGCAAAACCTGCACGAGCTTAACGAAGATGATCCTGGTAGTAGACTTGACTTTTGCGAACGAAATATGGCTTTTGTCGATGATGGGCAAATTGCTTTGGAATGGGTGCTGTTTTCTGATGAAGCTACTTTGACATTACCTGGGCACGTCAATCGGCACAACTGCCGATATTGGGCTGACGAAAATCCCTACTAGATGCTTGAATGCCATAATGAAAGGCCTCAAAAAACAAACATCTGGGCTGGAATTTTTGGGGATCACATAGTAGGTCCTTTATTTTTCAATGAAAATGTAACCGGACAAATATACCTAACTATGCTTCAAGATGAACTGGTTCCTGCTTTAGCGATTTTATTTCCGAATAATTTGGATCCCGATTTAATTCCACAAGACAGGGCACCACAACATTTTGCTCAAAATGTACGAAATATCTCGACGAAATGTTTCCGAATAGGTGAATTGGAAGAAGGGTCCCATCTGAGTTGCCAGCAAGATCACTCGATCTTACCACAATTAGATTTTTTTATGGGGATATCTAAAAAGCAAGGTTTGTTCTACTAAACCTAACGAATCAAGGATGAAATTAGGCAAGTAATGCCGGAAATGTTATAAAATGTCCGGAATACTTTTTACTATCGATTAGGGTATTGTCAGTAACAAAGTGGAGGGCACTTTGAAAATTTTTTGCATTAAAGTAGTTTCAGTAAACATTTCCTTATTTTATTTTCTTTCGACACATTAGGTACTTATAAAAAGTAATAAAAAAATACGGATTGTATTGACAATTGAAAAAGCTTTAAAATAAAAAATTAATCAATATGTCCTTCCATTTAAAAAAAAGTTGGGATTGCAGCAACCTCCCAACTTAATTAAAAAAAATTGTACCTATGTATCTAATATGCCCCATTGAAAATAAAAATTGACGTTTCAGGAATAGTACGACAAACCTTTATTTATTGTTACAGAATTTGGTCCAGTTAAATTTTCCACTTTGTATTATACAGGGTATCCTAGAATATGTAGACAATCTCTCGGATTTATACAGGAGACGCTAAAATAATAAGTTCCCATAAAATTTTTTCCTTGCGGGACCCCCTACGGAGATACAGGTCCCCAAAGGACGCCCCTGAAAATAGATTTTTTTTAATAACTTTTAAATACTTTGTGTAATTTAATTATTCTTAGGAAAAAAACAAATGTAAATAAAACTGGTATGTTTTTAGACAGACACAGATAGAATGCAAAAAGTACAGTTCATTAAGGTTAAAAACAAAACAAATAAGTCAAAATTGAACCAAAATTTGCAAGTTTATGCTTTTGAGTTTGCTCCTTTGAATTCTGAACTAGAAAAAAAATTGGTACCTATTGTTTTACAGAGAGTTGACAATTTTTATCTATCTGTAGCGTGATTATCTAAATAAAACAAAATATAACAATATAGAACTAGAAATTCAATGAAAAACAATGTTTTGTTGCTTTTTTTTGTATAAAAATCATTACAAATATGTAAAACGCTCTAAATTTCCACAAGTTTTATCAGTTTAGATATTTTGATATATTCTATAAAAAATAGTAGATAATAATAATAGATAACCCAAAGATAATGAAATCAAATTAAAATAATTCCTATTTAGCTAAATGCCTACCTATAAATTCTCTTTTTAGATGTTGTCAAACAGTCGAGCAGCGCGAGTCCCAAAATGCGCTCGATGTCGAAACCATGGAATGATATCCACGTTAAGGGGCCACAAGAAACAGTGCATTTATAAAAATTGCGCTTGCAACAAATGCGGACTCATCAAGGAGAGGCAAAGAATAATGGCGGCGCAGGTGGGTATTAATTTGTAGTAAAATTTGTCTTGTAAACAATGATGTTTATTATAAAACATATAGATTTTAAAGTCATTTTAATGAAAAAAATTGATGCAATTGGCCATGGATTTGGAGATTAAAATACATCAGGTTCAAAAAAGATTAAAAATGGTTACACAATATTCATAGATACTATTTTTCGCGGGATTATATAAAAATGATTGCATATTTTTAATTAAATCTAGCGCCTTATATTAGGTTGGAATTATAGTTGGCAGCAGATATTGTTGTTGAAATTGTGAAACAAAACTTTTCCATAGATAGTACACAGTATTATCTTATTTTTTTGATATAAAACTAATGTAAGTTTTGAACATAATACAGCTAGAGAAACAGAAACAGAAACCAATAATTGCATTTCTGTCTGACTTGAGGATTAATGTGGCAACGTCGCAATCAGCTGACAGCAAGGAGGGAATATAGTCCAATTAACTAAGCCTTTAAATCGAAATTTTGTCAGCTTGGCTGAATTTTTGATATGAGTTAGTTTAAGGTATATTATAACAATAAGTGAGAGTAATTTTTTGTTCAACCCCCGGCCAAGGGTGGAAAAAGATAAAACAAAGGGCTTTTTCAAGATAACTCAAAAAGGGTAAGAGCTAGAAAAAAAAGTTTTTCATGAAAGTTGTAAAGCAGACAATTCTACATAAAAATGGTCTCTTAGCTTTTTCTTGTACTATTAAAATTAACAGAGTTAGGGAGGCTAGAAGTTAAGGGAAGATTTCAGAAATTTAATTTTGTTAAATCATTAAAATTAACGATTAAAAATTTGATTTTTTGTTATAACTTTCTTATTAAAAATTAAAAAATATATCTATTTCTCTGAAAAGAAAAGTTACATATTTTAGAGCAGATTGAAAAAAAAAATTACAAAATTCAATCATTTTTCTGTTTGTTATGATTTTTTTTAAATTTCTGAAATCTTCCCTTAACTTCTAGCCTCCCTAACTCTGTTAATTTTAATAGTACAAGAAAAAGTTAAGAGGCCATTTTTATGTAGAATTGTCTGCTTTACAACTTTCATTAAAAACTAGCTTTTTTCTAGCTCTTACCCTTTTTGAGTTATCTTGAAAAAGCCCTTTGTTTTATCTTTTTCCACCCTTGGCCGGGGGTTGAGCAAAAAATTACTCTCACTTATTGTTATAATATACCTTAAACTAACTCATATCAAAAATTCAGCCAAGTTGGCAAAATTTCGATTTAAAGGCTTAGTTAATTGGACTAATACATTTGAAAGGCTTGATAAAAACGAAATTGATTATTGATTTCAAACATATACATTTTTCCTAAATCCTATGTACATTGCTATCGACAGTAAATTATCCAAAACAGATGATTTTTTGTAATGTTTTTAAAAAACTAGATTAATTAAAAAAGACTAGGAAGCTGTGATATATTTATTAGAATAAAAAATACAGTTGATAAATCCTTTTAATATATTTAATGGTTTATAAAAACATCGTAATCATTACCCAGCAATATTTAGGCTTACTTAAAGTTTTCTTTACTTGATTAATATAATTAGTAATACCTACTTGAGATAAAAGCATTTGTACGGAATAACAATGGAACATAAATATTTCTCAGCAAACTTTATATCTAAAAAATTAGTTATAGTTGCAAAACTTTTGTAACATTACAAAAAAAAAGTTTAAAAACACGAACAGTGAGTAATAATGTAATTTCTATAACAGAACCTTCAAAATTGCATCCAACATTTTCTTTGACTTGGACGAGAGATGGGCGCGAGTGTCATTTCATTTCTTCACCGGTTCACATGATTTACGGATTTTAAATAAAGGATACAAATCTTCGCGAGGATAATACGATATATTTGCTATATATAATAATTATATTGTACATAGTTTACACACAATACATTTTTGAACGCGTACGCATCTTTACCCGAATTTGACGCGCAATATCTCCGATGTCTGAGGTCTGTAGGTTCGCAGTGTGTACAACTGCTAGTCAATTATTAGCGCTGTTGCCACATCTACATAGTCTTTATGCGTTTATTAAATATAATTTAAAACTATTTAAATATATGTTTATGTTGTTAATTAGTCAATATGTATGCTATGTGCATATGAGTAGATTTCGTGGCTATGTATAATGTTTATCGCAAATAATTTGAATAGAATTTAATTTTTTCAAATTGACAGCGGGTTTTAGTCCCATAAGAAAAGCATAGGACCCCCCTGCGCTCCTCACTTCCCACGGACCCCGATATACCTCCTTAAGTTACTTGAATGTATGATATATTATATACCTACCTATCTTCATATTTATGCAAATAGCGGTTTCAGTCTCAGATAACTACGATTTAACTTAATAGGGTTTGATTGTTAAAATATGAAACAGATCTCGCTTTTAAAATTAAACTATAGTACGATCGTATACGATGCAAAGTAGAGCAAAAAATTGTCGGTCTTTTATCAAAGGAAAATCGTGTCATCATTTTTAGGAGGCGTAAGATGAACCGTTTCAAATTTAAAATGAAATTGAATGTAAAATCTGAAATACCGCCGCATACGCATTGTGTTCTGGTACTAGCTGTAGTCGGCCAGGTGCATCGAGTGTACGAAGTGGTCGGTTATACGTCAAATACTAACCTGGCGAGCTTGATCGTAGAGCAGGGAACAATAAACAGTGGGGCGTACAGAGGTGAAATGTAGTACATATGTGGAATTTAAATAACGAATTGGATTTATAATAAATTACATTTAAAACAAATAGTTTATGAGAATAAAGGGATTTTTGTAGGAACAGGGTTCCAGACGTGAACTGATCTCTTCATCGCACCCCATTACGATTCTTTTTTTTCATAAGGAGAACGAAGTTTCAAAGCAAAAACCTTGTATAACAGATATACTATAAATATTTACAGAATGAAAACAAAATATAAATCCTATGATATGATTCTATCAAATGAAAACACTAACAACAATTCTCTACCAATCTCAACGAAATAAGTTATTTTTCTATCAAACAAGAAATGTTAACAAATTATAAACAAAATATAACTTCTATGATTTATGTACTGTACGCCAAACTGCATTTTTCTCATCTTCATTTAATATTAATTTCTTCTTTGCACCCCCTTTTTTAGGTTTCTTAACGTCTCCTTCAATTTTCTTCTCTCTTAAAATTTTGAAAACAGATAATTCGCTTACTCCAGTATATCCAGAACACATTTCCACCAAACCAGTCTTCAGTTTCATGGGATTATCCTTTTGTAAAGGGTTATAGACATTTAATATTATCGTTTTTTCTCTGTAACTTAATATAGATTTTTTTGTACCCACAGCAGTACATCCGGCTCGCGAACATCCAGGCACCGCCTCCATTTCTCCATATAACGACAACAGAGAAATAATAATACAAAAAACTTCACTTCACTAGCACAGAAAATATAATAGCATTCACGATTCACAAACAACAGCCCGAAACACACACACACAGTACACAAATAAAACACTAAAAACACTTTTGTTACGGAGCACAAGAAATATGATTTCACTCACAAATCCTCAAATAATAGCGCGAAACACACATATAGTCCGAAAGAAATATAATTGCACTTATAACAGTTATAACCTCACAAATATCGCGAGCGAGAAACACGCAGCACCAATACAACCGAAACGAAACTGACCACGCCAGGCCGGCACGCGCGCCGCCGCAAAAAACACAAGACGCAAGTCATATGAGGGATAATGAAGGGAGTAATAAATGTATTGTTGTCCTGCCGCCCAATGTGCGAAGGAGATGCCTTTGTTTTTCATTTTGTCCTTCATAAATATATAAGTTTATCCATAATGCATAAAGAAATTATTCAATTTCCAAAACCCCCTATAAAATGTGTTGCACTGATTCCCTTGACAGGCAATGATTTATTACTTTGCATCGAATACGATCGTACTATAGTTTAAACGTCTTTTGATTGAATCACCCTGTAACATCTGATTTTTACTTACCCTCTTCTCGACTCAAAATAAAGACATTTGTTAGTTCTTTTAAAACTTTTTATTGTCCATAGTTGTACCTACAGCTGAAAATTGAATTTTGTCGTACTTGATTTGTTAGTGCTCTGAATCTTGTTTGAAAATATACAACGAAGTCGTCGCCGAAACAAATTAAGGACATTAAAATAAATTATTGCGCTCCCGCAATTCGATATTCTGACAGAGTGAAGTGCTTGATCGATATTCCATTAGACAAGTATCGCGTATCTCTTGGACAAACAAGGGCTCATTGGTAATCATTGCAAATCCGATATCGCGGCTGTGTACCTTCCCAATCTATCAATTCTCTCTGGACACAATAATGCATCTACGCGCAGGAAATCAAACAGTAAGAGACTCGGCAACGTAATAAAAGCAAGAAATAACCGTGTCTGTGTAAAAGAGGGAGATTTACTTTCCGTCGCTGCTCGTTTTTAACAGAAATTGATTTGAAATTTTGGTGTACTTATACAGTAACATTACACATTTTATTACCGTACACTAGGTACGGTAATAAAATTCCTAAAAACTCATTTAATGACACATTTCCGAGAAAATATATTTTTACCAACAAATCAAATAAAAAATTTCCACTCCAATTACCGAAATGCTGCCTTTATCTTTAGTAGTGCAGATTTAATAACCTGAACCATTACAAAGAAAATACTTTTCACCTTCTAGGTCGCGTTGAAACGTCAACAGGCCGCCGAAGACGCTATAGCTCTGCACCTGGCATCAGCAGAGAGCGGAACCACCTACGAGTACCTTCCCCCAGGTCGAATCTACGGCATGCAGGTCACCTCTCCCGAATCAGACTCCTCCGACAACGCCGTCGATCCACAATCTCCTGCAGAACAGAACCAAGAAGAGGTCTTGGTCAGTCCAGCTTCCATAGACATGCTCGCCAAGCTCTTCCCCAACAAAAAGCGAGCGGTTTTGGAGTTGGTCCTGAAGCGGTGTAACCACGACCTTCTGAAGGCCATAGAGCACTTTAATCTGAACAACAACCACAAACAAGAAGATTCGGACTCGAGTAGCTCTAAGGCAGAGTCCGCTTCGGCGTTTAGGCCAGTTGGTAGCTCTGTGAAGATGTCGAAGCCTTACGTTAGTACTCATTCTGGGGCTTTGCCCTTTATTTCGAGCAACAAGGTCTTCATGCACAGCTTGTACCCGTTTTTGCCGCTTTTTAATCCACAACCCGTGCTGCCTAGTCCGGTGTATGTTCCGGGGTTCTGCGAGTGCGAACAGTGTAAGCACGGGCTCTACAGTAGAATAGATTCTTCTAGACCTTAAAGGTTTTTCATCCGTTATGTCGTTTCGTTTATTTATTTTGTTATTTATGTTTAGCTTTATGTAGAACTGTTAGATAAAAGTAATTAGTTGATTATTTGAATTGAATTAAAGTGGTGATGTCGTAAGTGGCAGTTGCAAATGACATTTTAATTCAATAAGACACTTTAGTTAACTGGAATGAGGAAGACTTTTGATTTAGAACAAAAAGGTCTTTTCAACAAATAATTTCCTTCGAAAATTGAAAATTTTATGATGAGACAAGTTTATTTCTCGTGGGGACAAACTAATTTAATTAAAACCGCATTTTATTCCGAAATTACGGTGCAAAAATTTTTCCAAGAATTATCACGTATCGATTCTTGCGGGGGAAAAAAATCAGAAACTTTCGAAGATATTCTATTTGAAACTTGAAGTTTATTCATTAACATCCAAGTGTAATCTGGAACCAAAAATTTAGATATTTGGTCACTTGTATGACTCCAAACTAGCTTTATTTTACCTTTGCAGTAAAGTAGATTTACTAGAATGTCTGTGTTTTAGAATATTTGAATGTAAATATCTGTATACGTTTTTGTTTCGATGCTTATCAGATCTATCTATTTCTTTTTCTTTTTTGATAGAATGGTTGTGATCTTTTCGTATATTATAGAACTGACGTTAAAACTGTTTCGTTTAAGTGTAACTTAGTATTTGTTAATTTAATAAAAAACGAAAAATTAAAGGGGTATTATTACTCCCAAAACACTACTTGATGATCTACATCACTGATACTGAAACGAATGAAACTTAAATTCGATTTTGTACTGATGGAACCCTATTCAAATCTTGGTCTGCCGAACAGTATCGAGTGAATTTAGTTTTATGTGTGACTGTATAAATAATTCTGTTTATTTTCATAATAATGTGTATAGAATTAAAGGCTCCTGTACATAAAACCACAATCGTGGGAAGAGTTTAAATATTCCAGTCACAAGTTACATTATTTTAATATTACCTATTAGTTCATTTGCATTTGGAGTCATCTATTTTCTTATATAGAAAAATCCCAAATATTATGTAGAATAAAAATCCGAATATGCCTATTCCAAAGAAAACCATTGCTAAATTCAGGGGAACAACAAACATACAAAAAGAACGAAAAATGACCCGTTTTTCGACATATTTTTCCCTGTAACATTGAAAGTAAGCCCTAAATAAAAAAAATCATTCTCTATTTTTTGTTTATTTGACGATTTTCTATAAAGTTACAATAACTGCGAATCAGAAAAGTCGAATTTTGCATTAACAATAGTAGAAAATCATATGTATATTTGGAGCAATTCTTAAAATAAGTAAATATTTATAAATATTGATGAAACTTTGTGAACAAATAGTAAAACATATGTTCTACTTTTCTACCTTAAAAATTTTGTATCGATCGGTCGTATGGTTTTCGATTGACAGGACTGATAATTAAGAATTAAGAGCACACAATTTTTTAGAGATACTTATTGTCATAATAAACATTGATCAATACAAAAAATACCTATTTTTACACTTTTATAACCATCTAGATTTTTTTTTTAATTTTTCAGCGTTTTACTCTATAAACAATTATTTATTGCCTAAAAAATATTATTAAATCAGTGGTATCCTAAATCCAAAAGAGATATTCATTTGTTCTAGTCACAAAGCTGACAACCTGCAGGTCTCGTTATTTGTTAAAGTAAGGTAACGAGTCTAATTTTATAATTTCCAAAATAATTTCATTGTCTAGGAATTGAGGTTATAAACTGAACTTTGTTGCACTAAAAATGCTTGCCCACCCTGAAATTTTCAGAAGAATAAACAAAAATTTGTGTATATATTTATCAAAGTGATTTGACAACTCTTATAAAATTAAATCTAAAATGCGTTACCTCCTTTGAAACTCCCCCTAAAAAATTTTAAAATTATATTTTAATCATGATCTCGGCAGCAACCAACATAACATTCGGGCTAGCCCGTAGCCGCTGAATTAAACAACGCTGTACCCCAACCATACCTTGCATGCTTATACGCACCTAGGACTAGACAGTATAATCAACGTAAGTCGTTCACTAATTTAGAATATTTGGCCCAAGTCGGGCGAGCCCGCACACAGCTCGCATATACCCATTGAGCACCCATCGAGTGTTGTATCGACCACCTAAGACTTTTCACCAGTGGTTGGAAATATATATACGTATATTTATTTGCTGTAATTTTGTTCTTTAAATGAATTTTTAAATATTAGAACAATTTTTCCCTGCAAAGGTATTCCAGAAAACAAATTTTAGTAAACGAAATAATAAACCGTTTTATAATAATTTGTAAATCGCGTAAAAAAATAAATATCTATGGTGCTATGTTGAATGTTCTTTGATAATTATAATTATTAAGGTTATTTTAACTCGTTACTGTTAAACTGAATTAAAAGTGATTGCTGAGAAATTTTCAATATTTGAATAGATTCTAGTTTGTAAACATGGGAGTGATGTAAATTATTTTTGGGATGATCTCGGCAGCAACCAACATAACATTCGGGCCAGCCCGTGGCCGCTGAATTAAACAACGCCGTACGTTGCCTGCTTATACGCAGGGCTAGGACTAGAGAGTAATCGGAAACGTAAGTCGTTCACTAATTTAGAATATCTAGCCCAAGTCGGGCGAGCCCGGACACAGCCCGCACCCGCATACTCATCGAGTGTTGTATCGGCCAGCTACGGCTTTTCGCCAGCCAGCCAGCAGCGGTTGGAAATATATGTATATTTATGTGCTGTAATTTTGTTCTTTAAATGAATTTTTGAACATTAAAACAATTTTTCCCTGCAAAGGTATTCCAGAAAACAAATATTAGTAAACGAAGTAATAAACCGTTTTATAATAATTTGTAAATCGCATTAAAAAATAAATATCTATGATATGTTGAATGTTCTTTGACAATTATATTTATTAAGGTTATTGTGAAGCGTTACTGTTAAACTAAATTAAGAGTGATTGCTGAAAAATTTTCAATATTTTAATAGATTCGAGTTTGTAAATATGGAAGTGATATAAATTATTTTTAGGACTTTTAAATTCGATACATATTTATTTATTTTTTCAAATAATAAAGCAACTGTTCGATTAAAAAAAATAGTTTCTATTTAATATATTTTTTTTATTTCAATCAGATTTTTAATAAATTATCATTTGAATATACATAATTGAATTACCTAAAATAACTCTACTCTCCGGGCAAGCCCTTCGATTTCACTCGTATATTCTTCGGGTACTTATGTGTAATCTGCGGTTTGATGTTAGTTTTATTTCATAGATTAGGAAGGTAGAGATTTGTTATTCCTTGTACTTCACGACTTGGTTGTTTGTAAGTTCTAGGTTAGGGTTAGTATAGTGGTTTAGGTAAGTTTTTATTGTTTAATAGTTTGGAATAAAGCAAAATGGTAAGCCGAAAATAGCGAATTGGTGAGTAGCAATGGTGATATTATTAATTTTTTATTAAATAAAAAATTTTGTATGTTAACTTTCGATGATAAATTATTATTTATTTCAAGATTAAAACCTACGCCTGACATGAAAAATTTAATAAATAAAAACAATTGCGGAAGTAACAGATCATTTAGTAAAAATTGGTACAATAAATATGAATGGTTAAAAGGTAATGAAACCAGAAACAAATTATATTGTTGGAATTGCTTACAGTTTAATGAAAAAAGTAAAACTCCATGGAATTATCTAGGATATTCAGATCTGAAACATATAAATGAATCTTAAAAAAAAACACGAGCGATCGGAGGAGCATACATATTCAACATTAAAATTTAAATTATTAGGAAAACAAAACATTCAAACTTTTCTTGATTCTGCATTTCGTGAGAATATTTTAAACCATAATAAAGTCGTGGACGAAAATAGAGACATTGTAAAGCGCCTTATTGATTTGGTTATTTACTTATTTATTTATTTATTTATTTATTTATTTGTTTATTTATTTATTTATTTATTTATTTATTTATTTACTTATTAGAATTTTAGTATAATTTATCGTTAGTAATTTCAGCTATAAAAGTGATAGAGAATTTTACTATTTGTTTAGAGAATTATATAATTTTTTATATGTCCTTCTATGCCTTAATCCTTGCCTTATCCCCTATCCCGGCAAGAAATCACTGTGATGACATTCTCGTTTGTTCTTGCTGAACTATTAGGTATACTTTTGGAATAACTAATATAATTTTCAGGTATATTTATATTAACTATCTTCATAATTCTTAAGTTTTTTACACTTTCAAAAGTAAATAGACTAACGTAGATTGCAATTATTATATGATATTAAGTTACATGAGAGAAAAAAAAAATTTGCCCACCCATCTCAAAAAGTCACGAGCCGCCACTGAGTTCGAGTATACCTAGTACTCTACTGTATCACTGTTTTTTGTAGGCATTGCCTTATCTATGCACTGGCTTGAGGTCTCCTGAGGGTACCTAGATTTGGAAACTATTTAGAACTTGTTTTTTTTTGAGGATTAATAATCAGAGTACCTGGTTTGGAAGCTACTTAGTATTTGATTCGAGGGATCTTCTTCGCAGGCTCAGAGACTGAAAATTTTTGAAAGTTTTGAATTGAGAAAAATTTGTCTCTAGTTAATAAGTTATGAAGATGCCAGAGCTGACGTTCGATGGCTCCGTAAAGGACCTGCAACGGTCTCCGCCTTAGATTTGGACACTTTGCCGTTTCGGATTTGACCTGTAGTCTGGTGTGAGGGTTCATATTTGTGTTGCCCTATCCCAGTCTAAATTTAGATGTTTAGATATTTCAGATTGGAAAGTGAAGCGAAATTTTAACTGGAATAGAACAATGTATAATCGAGAACATAATACTTTTTTAATTTACAAAAGTTAGTTTCCTAACAATCCATATAATTTTAAGGCTTAAGTATAACATTCGATTTCTTTTTCTGTTGTTAACTTCGTCGAATGAATTTATCCCAGACAGAAAACACGATTGCCCTGCGGCCTATTCCCGATGTTGACTCAGTGACGGACGATTTGCCACCGAGTGTTTTAAATCTGACGTAATAAAGCCGCCAGATTTTTTCCAATTTGGAGCCTCCTCGGCTAACTCGATTACAGCGCACCGTCTGGCTAACCTGATCTCTTTGTTTGCACAGTAAGTTAAGAAGGATCTCCCGTGTTTATTTGCCATTTACAGCGGTCTACATGGAATAACACGCCCGACACGCGTGGCGAATTAATAAAACTTTCCTTCATGTACACCACTCTGGCTTATTTGTTAAACGAGAGATGAAAGTGTGTTCTTTACCGAAATCCTTCTTCATTGCATTCATCTTGACAAATTAATATGTATCCTGTTTTACGTTATTTACATATACAGAGACAGATTTGTGCCAGATTAGTATAACTGCGATAATAATTACGTATATCTATACGTAGTGGTGACTTTTCTTCTTGAATATTTAAAAAAAATAGGTGCCACAAAACGTAAATAAAATATAATCCAATTAAATGGATTTTGTTGTTTCTTTTTCACGTAAACTTAAGCCCATTATAGTCAATTACAAAATTAACTCGGACGTCTTAGAGCGTACAGATACCATAAAAGATTTGGGAATTTATTTCGATAGTAACTTTACCTTTTCAAATCATATTCAATATCTGGTTTCCTCAACACTTAGTACGCTGGGCTTTGTGATTAGGCAAGGTCGTGAATTCAGTGATAATGTTGTGTTGTTTTCATTATTTTACGCGTTTATCCGTTCCAAACTGGAATACTGTTCTCAGGCTTGGATTGTTTTTTATATTAACCAAGCCAGTTTAATTGATTCGGTGCAAAAAAAGTTTTTGAAATACCTCACATTTCGCTCCGATGCGATGGCGTATATCCTGCTCGTGGATGCGATTATAAAATACTACTAACACGTTTCAAACTCGACTCGTTACAATACAGAAAGCACTTCCATAGTTTGAAATTTTTACATGCACTAGTAAACAATAGACTGTCCCGAGATTCTAAGTCAATTGAATTTCTTAACAGTTAGGTCGGCTTGCCGCTCTCCACTTACTTTTTATACTTCTGCTTATAATACCAATGTGGGATTGAAGTCTCCTGTTTCTTTTATGTCACGCAATTATAACTTAATCTGTAACTCTTGTGATATATTCAACTGTAGCTTGCAACATCTGTACACAGCTTTTAGAAGTGTCAACAATTCATGATTGTTAACATAGGTAGTAGTTGCAGCTTTTCTTTTTCTTTCTTCTTATTTTCTTTTTCATTTGTTGTTACACTATCTTATCGGTATGTTTGTTGTATTTATTCTTTACATTTTGTTCTGTATGCTCACATGTTAAATAATATATTATATACTTTGTCCTGTAATTGGTGGTTCACTGTTGGACAAATAATTTAAATAAATAAATAAATAAATAGGCCTTTAAATCGCAATTTTGGTCAACTTGCCTGAATTTTTGATATAAGTTAGCTTGAGGGATATAATAACAGTAAGTGACAGTAATTTTTTTTCAACCCCCGGCTAAGGATGAAAAAAGATAAAATAAAGGATTTTTTCCAGATAACTCAAAAGGGGTAAGAGCTAGAAAAAAACTTTATAAAAGTTGTAAAGCATACAATTCTACATTAAAATTACATCTTGACTTTTTCTTGTATTATTAAAATTAACAGAGTTAGGGTGACTAGAAGTTAAGGAATGAATTCAGAAATTTAAAAATCATAAGAAAAATGAATGAATTTTATAATTTTTTTTCAATCTACTCTAAAAAATGTAACTTTTCGTTTCAGAAAAATAGATATATTTTTTAATTTTTAATAAAAAAGTTATAACAATTTCAATATTTTAATCGTTAATTTTTATCATTTAACACTAAAACAATTTTTTTTTCTATGCCAATCGATTGATTATTTAAAATAATGATAAGTTGCTTTGGAAATTTTGTTTTACGATAAAAATAAAGATAAAAAAAATTACGGTTTTATGAAATTGTTATAACTTTTTTATTAAAAATAAAAAATATGTCTATTTCTCTGAAAAGGTAGTTTACATTTTTTAGAGTAGATTGAAAAAAAAAAAAAAATTAAATTCATTAATTTTTCTGCTTATGATTTTTTAAATTTCTGAAATCATCCCTTAACTTCTAGTCTCCCGAACACTGTTAATTTTAATAGTAGATACAAGAAAAAGTCAAGATGTCATTTTTATGTTTAATTTTTTGCTCAACAATTTTTATAAGAAACTTTTTTTTCTATCCCTTACCCCTTTTGAGTTATATTGAAAAAGCCCTTTATTTTGTCTTTTTTCACCCCCGGCCGGGTGTTGAAAAAAATTACTGTCATTTATTATTATATATTACCAAAATTGCGATTTAATTGGACTACCTATAATAAAATATTAAGTCACAAAATTTGGCAGATATGCTCGTATTAGAAATGGTTCTATTATTTATAATTTCTTAGTCAATTTATTGAAATTAGAAAATTTACCACCATCGTTTACCTACTAGATTAAAATTTACCAATTCCTTGGTTAATTTATTGTTACACACTATATCATTAAATACAGATTGCGATATTGTAATTATTTAGGTAATTACTTTTACATTATTTGATTTTTAAATTATTTATTAAAACAGTAACACTACGAAGAAAAATTATCCCCCTCTTGCTCATCCATACTTGTGCTATCCAAGGTAGAATATGAAGTACTTTGATTTAATAAAAGCATCTTCTTCTCCTGTAAACGAAATATACTATTAAGAAATACACATAATCACACAAAAATATTTACAATTTACGTGGCGGTACCCCATTCTTTACGCAGGGTGTTTTCTAGATCCTTGTTATAAATTCAAGAGGTTGTTTGGTTAACTAAGTTCCGTTGTCACGGAATTTCGAGATACAATGTGTGGAAATAAAAAATATTACATTTGTTCAAAGATCTTTAAAGATGCAGATAGATGAAATTTAGAATAATTTATTCATTGAATCAATTTACAAATATGTCAGCTACTGATGGACATTAAGAATCCCAAAATTTCGACGCAACTGAGTACTTTGGAAGTTCAATAAATGCATTTGATTGATAAATTGTATCTGAGAAAAAAATTTATATTCCGCTTTATTCCAGAAATTAAGATTTTCAAGATATTTTTGTTGTAAATACGAAATAAGCTTAAGCAATTAAATAAATGTAAAACATAATTAAACAGTTACAGTCACGGGACCCAGTACTCCCGTCATTACTAATAAAATTGTATTCCGATATTTTTAGCCCGATTCTCATCAATCTGTCAGAAATCTTCACAAATGTTGAATAGCGTCTACATGTTTATAAAATTTCAATTGTATGCACCTCGAAAGCTGCATAATTATTTTTTTTTGTAATTCATTTCATTATCCAGTCTATTTATTAATTTGATTTAATAGAGAACACTTTGAAAAAGCAATTAAAAGATTTGGTGTTAAACTTTACTCACCTCCCCATTATCCAGCTCCAACAACAAGGGACAAATCAACAGATTCAAAAACCCGACAATCCTCATCAACCACGGAAACCCAAAAACATGAACGGCTTGACCTCCTAACAGAGGCCCAAAAGAATAAGCGACCGCAACCGACGCTTGCTGAAGGGCATACACTGGTCCATACTGAGTGCTCCCTTTTCTGTCCACGAAGTTGGCCAGCAGGGGTACCAGAGCTGCGTCCACCGCACCCACTCCTAAGCCAACTCCGAAATGGGGCAGCGCCAGTTGAGATATGCTGTTGACGAGAGGCAAAGCGCAGCAGCTGAGGCCTGTGAGTACCATCGCGCTTAGTGATATGCGCCATGGAAGCACCGGCAGCAATCCTGAAAAATTGGATATAGTTATGGGTTTCCTTCATTGGAAATCGGTAAATAGTGCCGCAAATCTGAAATTTATTTACGTATTACATTTTTTAATGGTTAGGGACCTCTTCGTTTTTTTTTCTTAGAAATTTTGCCACTCGTGAAAAAAAAATTAAAGAAAGCTTTGCACGAAAAGGATTAGTGGAGAGTTATTTTCTAGGAATTGAGTCATTCCATGTCAACTGTTCCAACGTTTCCAGTCGATCATCTCCAATCTTCATGAAATTTTGCACAGAAATAGCCCTTGGTCCTAAACTAAACTGGGTAACATATTAGACTCTAAGCTGTTTTTGTTCACAAGTTATATACACCAGGAAAATTAGCGAAAATAAAAGAGAAATTCGAAAAAAGTCCTATCCGTGAAATTATTGTAAAATTGTCTAAAGGAACATAATACAAGACATCTCTCACCTTGCGAGTCAAAAACTTTTATTAGCTAACTTTTCTATTTAAACAAATAAGTGAGGAAAACAGTTTTTTCACGAATGTATAAAACATTACCATGGAAAATACTTTACAGCTTACAGCACTATACGTTCTCTAAACTGACAGATAAATAGGTCTTTTTTAAATATGCAACAATTTATTTTTTTATTGTTTGATAATTTTTCAAAATATGCCAATAATATTATTACTGGTATCTAGCCGTCTGCCAATATATTCATTATAATTATTGTTTATATTATACAAGAGGCACAACGTTAAATATATAAGCCAGGTTAACGAAACTAAATGAACGTGGTCTTGTGGCTTAAAGCGTTACGCGTTGTCCTACCAATCTGAAGGTTCGGGGTTCGGTCCCTGATGAGGTATGGTTTTTTTTCAATTAATATAATATTTCGAATGTAATTTTCCATCGTCCACATTTCAAGACAAATATTTCCACACCAGTTGCTGGTCACGAAGTGAATAATTTCTCACACTGTTGCCAAATATCTGCTGATTCGAGGCGCGCTAGATTGCTTCTTAAATTCTGCCAGAAAATCGTGAAATATAAAATACAGATAAGTAGGTGTAGGCCAAGCAAATTAAATTTTGACTCGAAAAAAGTCCTATAAGCGAAAAATGCACGGTTTTTAATGCACAATTTGAGAATGTCAATGTCAAAAAACGGTAATATTTTTTAATAGGTCGCTTAATTACGTCTTTAAGATTACAATGACGCTTTCAGAATCGTGTTTTGGTTGAAAATTATCGCCTGTACAGGCTTAAAGTTCATAACTTTTGGAGCCTCCGTCATAAACAAATAGAATTGAGCGAAAACTATTGCACCTACAGCGCCCACTTTTGGCGCACTTTTAAAGTATGACAAAACCCTCAACTTGTTATTCGCGAATGCAGCTAAGAGCTCGCCCTCTGGCGGTGACAAGTGATACTAGCGAAACAAGGTAAATATTTATTCTGTGTGTGACATTTCGTTTTGTATTTTATTAAAAACTGAATTTAGTGTTCGTTTTTTGAACACTGTTATTTTAAGAAAATAGTGTGAGGAAAATTTCAGCAATTATGGATAGAAAGAAGAAACTGTCAAACTATTATTGTTCAGTTCAAGGTTGCTTTTCATGGTCCAAGAAAAATCCAGAATTAAGATTTCATCAAACCATTGAAGAAATTTTCAAAATATTATTGCCGATAGATAATACTCCCTGAATTTCATGAGGGTTGTTAGTAAGTAAGGGCACTAGTCTGCAGACATAATATAAATTTCTAAATTTAAATTAACTTTGCTCAATTTTCCCATATAGTACCACATGATCAGCCTTAAAAACTGCCTCTCCTTCTAATATACAACGAGAGTTTTCGTTAGCATATATGTAAATAGGAAATGTATTCCACAACGGATAAGTTCATAGTTATAACTTAATAAAATGTACATTACATTGTAATGCTAGAGACAAATAAAGTAGACATAAATACTTGCCTTAAAATTTATTTATGAAATATTTGAAACCTATAAAATAACACAAAAGTGAAATAACCGCAGTTTGATAACAAAATTACTAATAATAATGGCAAATAAGACAAATGTTGTTCAAATGAATGTGTAAACGCGAACGGCAATGTCAAAATTACCTTGTCTCGGAGCTTACTGCTTTCGCCGCTTGGTGCGCTTGCATCTTAAAAATTATCGCGGATAGGTTTTATAAAATTTCAACAATAAATGCGATAGTTAGGTATAAACAAATGAAAAAATGGGCACTCTTCTAGGTTTTTTGCAATAACTTTTTTGTTTATTAACCGATTTTAATTTAACAAGTCTCATTTTGTAGATAATTTTACTCCCTACAAGCTGTCTTGAGTCACTTTTCACTAAAATTGATGGTTTTTCCTGCAAAGTGAAAAAACTGTTTTCCTCACTTATTTGTTTAAATAGAAAAGTTGGCTAATAAAAGTTTTTGACTCGCAAGGTGAGAGATGTCTTGTATTATGTTCCTTTAGACAATTTTACAATAATTTCACGGATAGGACTTTTTTCGAGTAAAAATTTAATTTGCTTGGTCCAATAGGCTTTTGGTCTACAAGGCAATAATCACGCGCGTACATTAAAATCTCTCAACCTTGATTGCTTGTTTTTTCAGTTTGGATCAACGAAAAAGATGAAATTTTGCTGACTAGTACAACTTTTTGTGCCAAATCCAGTTGTGCAAATAAAAAAGCAATTGTAGTCAAACCTAAATTGCAAATTGGTGCTAAAGTTGAGTAAAAAAGTCAGTTTTTGAAATAATAACCATACTTGAAGCACAAGCAGAGGATGGCAAAAATGTAAAACAAAAATATGCAAATTTGTTATTTGTACGTACTTGTTGTTAATTAAAACTTATTTTTTTCTTTTTTTATTCTGACGTAACTACTGTTTTCATAAAATTTAAAATATACAGTATGTTCATTAAAAAGAAACATTTTTTTCGTTTCATGCATTTTTATCCACTCTGAACTATTATGCTTTTTTATTTTCTGTAAAAAAACTAATAATAAAATTAAATTATATCTATATCCCCCACCTTGTGTTATTTTCAAAATAAATATCCATAATTTGGGTCCCTTTTATAAAATTGAAAGTAGTAAAAAGTTACTTTCAAAGTTCGATATCTCGAAAAGTTTAGGTACATGATGTGCTTTATGAATTTTCTTTACAATTTCGAGAAGAATAACATACCAGGTGTTCCATTAAAGAACAAGCAACTTTGTTTCGTCATGACTTTTTAACTGATCCTGTATATTTAATTTTTATTTATTTTAATGGACTTTTTAAAATTCTAAAATGTTTGTTATGATTTATTTTACTTTCGACCGTTTCCATGGATATCAGCGACCCTGCAAAATTTTGTCAGAGATAAAATTATATGGAGAAAACATGTACCACAAATCTCAAATTAATAAATTTTTAGATATCAATTTCTATTTAATCCTCACCTGTAAAATGTGATCCAACAAAATATCCAATACTATCCGGAATGAAAATCGCGCCCAGTTGCCAACGCGACGGAGGGGGGTTGAGGTGTGCCAAGAGCCACATGGGAACACATGGTTCTAAGACAGCCATGGAAGAAGTGCATATACATATGACAAAGGTTGCCAGTAAGGTCTGTTTATCTTTTAGAAGCCTAACCCATTCGGTATAGTTTCCCTTGATCGTGGACGACCCTTCCTCGACCTGATCGTCTTTCAAATAAAGAACTTGAAGGACTGAAAATGTATGGAATTTAAAAAAAAACGTTTATAGTAAGGAATATGTGAGTATCAAAATAACGAGCGTTCAAATAAAAACGTGGTCGAAGTTGGCTCTGACACATTGGACGTAGGGAGTAGCTTATAGCGACCAACTTAACCTCATTTCTCAACGAGCTGTATAGCAGCTGTCAGTTTCAATAACGTTAATGACTATATATAACTTTATTTTAAAGAATAATCGTGATAACAATAACAAACAATTAAAGGAGCTGCGGAAAGTGTCCCCGTCCTTGTTATAACAATAAATTAAAGCAGCTGCTGAAAGTGTCCCCCTCCTTGTTCCAAGCACTTTTCACACCTGTTCCTCAAAGAATTAAAGACATTTTCTAAGATGCTCGGGGTATTGTTAATTTCACGAATCTTGTCTATAAGTCGAGCCTGCAGATGGTTTAAATCAGGAATAGGCGGTTCAAAAATAGTGTTTTTAAGGTAAGGCCACAAAAAGAAATCACACGGCGTAATATCACATGACCTCGGTGGAAATTCATGTTCAGCATTGAGACTTATTAGTCGATTTTGGAAAACTTCCCTCAACATATTCATCGTATCGCCTGCCGTATGTGCCCTTGCGCCATCTTGTTGAAAGTAAGTTTGTAATTTCGTTTTCTTCCAGCTGGTTAACAAAAGGAGCGATAATTTCTTCTCTATACCTTTGCGCAGTAAGAGTACCATTAAAAAAATAGGTCCATAAATCCTCCTTCGATTGAGAGCACACCAAACTCCAATTTTTTGAGCGTGTAGAGAGAGGGCCCTCGACAAAAAAGTTATCTGGTTTTTCAGAAGACCACATTCTCATATTCTGTGAGTTTACGTAACCACTTAAATGAAACCAGGCTTCATCAGAAAAAAAGGTGATATTATGAAGTTCACCGTAGTTGTTTAAAAACCATTCACAAAATACAGCCCGTCGCGGAAAATCAACTTCATGAAGTTCTTGCTGACAAGTTAAACGATAGGAGAACAAACGCAAATCTTTTTTTAACACTGTGTGGCAGGTACCGACTGATACTCCCACCATTTGTGATAAAACACGTACAGAAGTTCTTGGCGCATTTTCCATTATTTGTTGGACATTTTCTTTTAATTCTTCAGTCCGCTTTTTAGGTCCGCCGCTTCCTTCTTTTCTTGTTACACTGCCCGTTTCACGAAATACATTAACACAACGCTGAACTGCACTTTGAAAAATTTTGTACTCAACAACGCCGGGAAATTGATTTTGAAATTCTACGAAACATTCCTCAATAGAATACTTCCATATTCCATCAATCTTGCGTCCATTTCTAAAGTAGGACTCTATGATAAACACTTTTTGTTCTTGAGAAAACACCATTTTAAACGCTTTTTAAAACGAAAATATTCAAATTGATAGCGGCGATATAGCGCTTTGACAGATGACGTTTAAGTTCATTTGCTATACGCTACGCCCTACGTCCAATGTGTCAGAACCAACTTCGACCACGTTTTTATTTGAACGCTCGTTAGTAGACAGGAGAGTCATAAATAAATCAAACCACTATTGTTTAATCTGACAAAATAATTTTATGTATTCACTGATCCGAAAGTTATATTGTTACAAATTACTACTAAAGCTACATGGTTTGACTTCCGTAATTCCGTTTTGTCTCAGTTTAGGAGAGGCATGTCAATGCGTATCATAAGCGTACAATTGGAAAATATGTGCTGTGAACTTACCAATATTTAAACTGACAAAAAACCCGATAAACAGAAAAGGGGCCGGCTTCCCAAAAAGTTGGTAGGCAGCACCACCTAGTGGATAACCAATAAGTACACCTAAAGCGATCCCGCCGAAGGAAAGTGGCATCAGTTTGACTCTTAATTCTTTCGGCAGGTTTTTCGCTAGGATACACATCCCGCTGACTGCGATAGCAGCTGAGGAACTTCCGTGAAGTGCTCTTGCTAGAACCAGGAGTCTGTAGGAGTTTCCATAAGCAAACACTGAAATCCGAACAAGATCTAGATCAAGCGACAAAAATTCTTTAAGTTTTTTTAATGCTTCAGTTTGAAAAAGACAACGGAAAAGAATTTAATTCATTGATAATACTTTCTTCAATTTTCCCCTGTTCAAAATTCAATTAAAGACGTTAATTTATTTGCACAGCTACTTTAAACTTTGAACTATTGCATTTTTATGACCATTGCATTTACAAGCAACAATTGTAGAACTTTCATATGAGAAACAAAGCTCGATATGAAAAATAAATACTTACATATAGCCGCCAGCAGCATATTGCACGATCCTATGAGTAAAGGGATGTTACATCCCACTACTCCCGTCAGATAACCTATCAAAGGTGTGAAAGCCAGCTGCACAAACGCCTTGGAAGCTAGCAATGCTCCTAAGGGCCCGTTTTCATTTTCTAATGTTTCGTATTTTCTTTGAAGGGGACTTAACGATGCAGGACCCAGGCGATTGCTCTCTTCTATGACTGTTACATTCAGGACGTTGGAAAATAGGTAGTCCGGAATTATCGGCACTGGAAGGTACACATTCTGGGGTTAAAATGCGGGAAAATTACATCAAAAATGTGCTAGAAACTAAAATAATGGACCTGGAGTGAATTTTTTTCTTTATATTTCATTTTATCGGTGAGCCAAATCAATTTGACCTCTAATTTTCCACTTGATCATGGAATTTGAGTTCATATATTTTAATTAAAAGTAGTCTTTACCAACAATCATACCCTAAAACCGATTCTCAAATTTTTTTTTTTAACAAAATAAACATTTTCGAGACTTTAAATTAAAAAATTGTGTAATTGTGTAAAAAACATTAAAGATATCTTATTCAAATTTTCAGGACTTATTGTGTAATATTTATATTTTAATAAAAAATAAGACAATAAAGTTAATTTATTTATTATCATATTTCTAATTATGTATCTTTAAATAAATAAATGAAAATTTTATTGTCTTCTCAGTCAGATACAGTTTTTTTTTAGTTTAGTAATAAAATGAATAAATAAATGTAAATTTTATAGTAACCTGTTAGTACACTGAGAAAAATATCACTTTAGCCATATATAAAAAATGATTCAACTCTAACAAAATGTTTCCTGTAAATAGGCTCCAGAAAAGTTATCATGATGACATAATAAAAAATAGTTTGGGGTTAAAAAGCTTATTATTTATGCTGGACCACCATTGTGGTATTTGACAATCCCAGCATATGTCTATTTTTTACTGCAAATAATTTGACAGGCTTTAAGGTGATTTTTTTGGCATAACTATGTTCTATCACTAATTTTGTCTTTAAATTCTCTCATATCTAAAAAATTGACAAATAAAAAACAAAATATCTATACATAGACATGTCACCATTCCTTATTTTTGCTTTTAATTTTTTAAATACAAAATAAATATTATGAGCTAAAATTGATATAGTTATAAAAGTACCAAGGGAGATACAGGGATGATTATCCTAGTATATCCCGTGGTGCATACAATTAAATATTTGATTTTCTAGGTATTTATTTTAAATTTAACAGTTAAATGTAAATGAGAATGAAAACAGTTTTTTAATATACATATAAACGATGCGATATATCCAAGATGTATCTAGGTATTTGTTGATTTTGATAGTTTGATGTATGATTCTGAGGAGACATATTGAAAAAGCAGAATGGATAATATTCCAGCAATAGTTGCTGTTAGAGCCAATAAAGCCAATGAAGAATTACTGTCTAAGAAATCTAAACTACTTTATGATGAAGAATATAAACGTTTTGAGACTTGGACAAGCAGAAATTCAGTGACAGCTGTTAATGGAATTATATTAATGGGGTATTTCCAAGAACTGGTATGTATTACCTTTCATCACTTTAAAGGAATATTTATAATTTCTGATAATTTATATTTTTTATAATCTTTTAGTCAGAATCATTCAGCCCTAACATATTGCGGACAAAGTATTTAATGTTGAAGATCACATTATTAGTGCGCAGAAAAGTAAATATAGGAGACTATCATCGATTAGAGGCTTATTTGAGGCAAATGTTGAAAGGATATATTCCAAAAAAATCTAAGATATTGACAAGAGGAGATATTTTGAAATTTATTAGAGAAGCATCAAGTCATACATATTTTTTGGAAAAGGTAATATAGGAAATAATAGGCTATATTATTGCATGTGTTTAATGGGTTTTTGTTATTGTAGGTTGTTCTAGTGATGGGTGTTTTTGGAGGATTGAGAAGAGATGAGTTGGTAAGGTTCCCGATAGATGATATATATGACAAAACACTCGTTGTTGTAGTCAAAAATTAACGATACAAAAACTGAAGTACCAAAATCGTTTATTGTTATGGAAGAAAATTAAATTCACGGTCTCCAATTGTATCGACACTCGACAGTATATAATATCGTTGCAACGAAAAGAAATTAAAGGTCGGCGGTTTTTACTGACATATCGGAATGGTCGATGTACTGCACAACCAGTAGGCAAAGATACCTTCGGTGGCATACCGCCCAGGATTGCAAAATATTTCGGTTACGGAGATCCTAAAAAGTACACAGGTGATTGTTTGCGTCATACATCGGCAACTCTTCCCGTAGATGCGGCTGCAGATATGATAACACTGAAAAGACATGGAAAATATAAGAGTGATATTGTAGCATTAGGATGTAGAAGTTAGCATAACGCCCAATAATAAAATATCTCGCATATCGAGCAGGAGTGGAAAGGCCTAGTGACGACAATTTTTCTGAATTAATTGTGAGGGGAAAATGAACAACATTTATTCGATGGCAAAGAAAATTTAGGTTGTTTTTCTGGTGTTGCTGTTAAAGGTTCCTTCTCAAATTGGACTTTCGCTTTTTAAAGACGGTTGTAAATGAGTTTTGTTATTAATTTAAAGCAAATAATTATTATATGTCAAATATTAATATTAATAAACTTTGTACTTTCATTTGTCTGCTTCATTAAATAATTAATTAATAATTAATTAAAAAATAGAGTAAAAATGCGGGCGATAATATTTAAGTACGCTTATTTCGCCCTAGAGTGATATGACGTTGTTTTGTTTATTCCGTTTCTTAGTAATAAACAAGCTATATCGCCTAAGTGAAAAATAAACTTATAAACACAATAGCCACTGTCATTACACGTAAGTACTCCTTCATAGGCATATATTAATCTTCTAATCTTTTACATAATATTTTTATTAACATAATGCAACAGTTAGAGTTTCGTTGTTTAATATTAAATTATTAACATAATATAAGGCAAGGTAATCTTGCTGTTGCAGTGGTGGTCACAAAATCCCTTTTAGGGTCCATTAAAAAAAAAACATTTGATCTTGAAGTGTTTTATTTACTCATTATGTTAATGGCGTCTTTGTGTATTGGTACGCCCTATATATATATATTTAAATACAGTTGCTAATTAGAATTTGTAGTTTTTTTTTATAATAATAAGAATTTATAATAATAATAATAATAATTTTTTATAATAGCAAATAATAATAATTTTTATGTAGACGAAAAATAGAATCATGGAGGAGTAGGAACATTAGTCCAGCGGAACATTGCAATGAAACCGAGAGAGTGAGCTGATTGTGAGTCCACCTCTCGAACTCATATATCAGTTCGGTAATTAGCAGAGCTATTTTGCACTATACGTGATTCTATAATGTTCAATTTGTTTCACTAATTCTACAAATTATGTTTTACATTGTTTCAATTAGAGAACAAATCAATAATAATTAAAGTTAATTTTACACATTTCACAAATTTTTGTTCGTTTTGGATGTTCTGATATTTTGAGAGTCAAAAAATTATGCAAATTTACAAACTTTTACACTTACCAACAACAGTGAGCAACACATTGTCCAGCAAGAAAGACAGATAAACAATAACGAACACGAACACGTTATTTTCTCTCAGATGCAGCATCAGGTTCGTCATGTTGAGCTGTACGGGGGAGGTTTGTGACTGCGGGTCCTCTGTCGGAGTAGCATCTGGACTTTCTCTACCTTATTATCCCTGAAAAGGATAGTAAATTGCGGTATAGGATGATTTTCAATGAGAAATTTGCAGCTTCAGTGGGTATCCGGTGTTCGTGTGGTTATCGCAAGATTGCACTCCACTGGAAGATATAAGAGGTGGGTAATGCGTTTACTAGGTCCGGTAACACTAGTTTCCCGACCCTTTTTGCTTTGCGTTTCGAATCCGTTTAATTCGAGTTAATGAAAAGGATGGATTGTTTTATTTTTAGAGATAGAACGACTCGTGGCAGTTTTCAGAGATAAATATGCAATTAAAATCAATATAGAGACATTTTTAGTAAAATTAGAACCTAAACATACCTCAAGTAGTTGGAAAACAAGTTCATATGAACAGTCCAGAAATGATTTTTTTCTGAAATAAAAGATGTTAAATTAAAGTCGTCTTACGGAAACTGATGTTTATATGTGTTCCAAACAGGTTCATGAAATCAATCCAAATTTGGTACATGGTATTGTATTACCTATATTCCAATGATGAAATAATTGGTAGTGACATGAAGCCGGGCGACTAGCAAGATATTGCAATTCCATGAGCGCACTATTTTAAAGGGTTCAAAATATTGTGTATATAGAACAAATACATACAGTAGACATTTTGCATCTCCTAAGTAGTATATTATTACCAAGAGATCCAGAATGATTGATAACGCCACTAAGATGAAACCACGCCTCATTGGTAAAAAAAGTTATATCTAAAAGATTGTAATGGTTTAAGTTGTTTTAAACCAGGTCTTTTTTCATTGTCTAATGGTAATAATTCTTGCATCATGGAAACTTTATATGGATGTAAATGTAATTTTCTTACAGTTCTGCGTCAGTATGGTTCAGTACCATATAACATTCCTATAATTAACATTTTTATATACTGAAATTCAAGATTTTCTAAATATTTACCCACCTGAGCTGAAAATTGTTATAAAGCTTTAGTGGGGCTTGCTGCTAAACGCTTTCTAACATCCACCAGTTTATCTTCAGTTAAAACTGAATTTCTTTCAGGTGACTTCCATTTACAAACATTGCCAGTATTTTTGAATCGTTAAACATAATTGGATTGAAGGCCTCTGCAATAAATTTATCGTTTTCTAACGAAAAGACCACTTTCTAACCTACAACAGTTCGAGTATTTTATATGGAAAAAAAACCATCAGTATTTGCTTCCTTACCATAAACTAACAGTTAACATATGATTAGTGTTGAAAAACACTGATTATTTAGAAGATTAACGATAAATTAAAAAAAAAACACAATCGGCGAACACAAATAAAGACAACACTTACCACACACGAGAAGCACGGACGTCTTTGAATTGACAGATCGTGTCGGTCGGAAATCTAAGAAAACGGAAAATAATTTTGATCAAATGGAAGTAAATGTTAAATATTTAGTAATATTTACGCGAGACTTCAGATTCAATCATTTTGGACCGTTCGGTATAATAAGTGTGGTATCTAAATGTCTACCGCACGATATTAAAGATTTTATTTACAGCAGTGTGTTTTTTTTTAAATAGTTTTTTATTTATAAAAATTACTTTTTAAAACTGTAAGTCACTGAATGGTATCTATTACTGTGCAATGTGCTTAATTTTGATAAAAAAATGGATTTGAAGGATTCTGAAAAGGGAATGTCAGAAATAGCGAAAGATGCAGCAAGACTTACAGTCGGAAAAACCTTCTAATCGCTTATTTCGATGACAATTTTAAAACAATAATATCTTCCATCTTTGATTTGCTTTGCACTTCATGCTGATAACAACATTGGCTGTGAAAAAGAACGAAAATATTGGTTAAGATCTCAGCTATTAGCATTTCTTAAGAAGAAATGAGTCAGGGCTAAAAAATTTAGTAGAAAAGAGACGGGTAGATTCTTTTTAGAAGCATCGGACGATTTTTTGATGATGAAGGAGATTTGTTCTATTACTTGTTAAAACTTCATCCTAAACACAAATACAAAAAGTTTTGAATGCTTTTTTATTGTTTCAGGTTGTCGAGAAGAGTTGGTTAAAACGACATAATACTTCCGATTTAAAAACACACTTAATCGTGACTGAAATCTGAATCTCGTGTTGTTCTCTATCTATAGTGATGTTACTTATATCCTGAGTATAGATGGTTGCATAACTGATGAAGTGAATGTGGTATTTTCGGACTATTCCCTGAACTTTTTTTTAGTACAATACAATTACCTTTGAAGATGTCATTACTCTTTACGAAGAAAATCACAAAAATACGATCTTAGATCAAAATCCTTTATTGCACTAAAATCAACACATTTGTTACACTGTGTAGAAATAATTTCGCGAACAATTTATTGGGTCAAAAAATTGGTGAATGAGAAACAGGTTTTAGATAGGCAGTTTCAAATAGACGAAATGTGAAAACCCTTCATATATTTTGTGTTTGTTCTCTTTTCAACACCTGCTTCTTTATAAAACCCAAGTAATGTCGATGCCAATAATTTCTTAATAATATTTACTATGGATACATAACACCACTCGAAAACATACTTAAGTAACACAAATCCACACTAAACAATTGTTGTGCTGAAATATAGCATTTATGGTAGGGCTAATACAGCGCTATGCTAGCTATGTTCGTTACTACGTTCGCTGTGTTCGTTAAATCTGCCAACATTACGACTACATAATAGTAATAGAATACAAATAATGGCTTATTTAAAACTTTAAAAAATAATTATCGTAAAGCTAGCATAGCCCTTCATATGGCCCTAGCACCACATGCTTGATTTTCTACGTATCTTAAGAAATATAGTTTTTTAAATACTTAATAAGTATTGCAGGTATGGATTGCTTCCGTTGAGCAGTGTCAAAATTCCTAAAACTCTAAAATCTGGTGACCTTGTCCACGCTAGGTGGTGTCTCGCAACGGAAGTCGAAATCTTCGTCTTCCGGCAGCGCTGGACACGAGTACAGATCTGGTTGTTGCATTGGGGTCCCCGTGGTGGTTACTCCGGCCCTGGCAACCGTCACTGCGTTTATGGCAGCCACATTGACACAGTCGTAGATGGGCTGCAAATATCAATAATACGTTATTCGTTATTTCCCATAGGGCGGAAATCGTGACTGGAAGCAAGAATTGTATCAATTATCACGATGTTTGCAAAAAGTGTTGTAGTATCTCAAACACTTGATAATGATGCCCAGAAATAAAAAAAGATTTTATGCGTATTGTTGAGAAAGATACAAGCTGTTAAGGCGTCATGCAAAAATAATTTTTGTTAATTGTTACCTACAACTTTAATTTTTCTAAAAAAATAACCACCTACTATCATCATAGTCTTGATCACTTACTTGTGTGTTAGACCTATAAATATCCATAGCACTGGTGGCGGTAGTCAGAGAAGGCAAAGTGCTAGTTATCTTGTCCCTCGCAGCGGCTATAGTCATAAGATACGTCCTGGGAATGAACACGGCCCCAAGAAATATCCCTGCGGTACACACCAACCCAGTGCACAGAATGGGCTCTTTCCAGTCATCATTTAACAACGCGTAGCACGGCAACCAAACACACCACACGCAAGTAACCAGAATAGTAGCGATGGTGAAGTACTTTCCTTCCCGATAATTCCTCTGGCATTTATAAATCAGAGGACACAAACACAGGAGAAGCAACAGAAGCATAGCGTTGTAGCTCATCAAGTATACGAAAGAGTAACCGCGGAAAACCTCGTGGCAACGTCCTACGATCTGAAGACTCAAAGCTGCTTGGACTCCGAAGATGAACAAGCAGAGGAACGCCTGTACAGGCCCTGCTATGTGTGACATGAAACCAATTTCTTTCGAGGCTGTCGCCAATAGGATACACCTGGAGAGCACTAGAGAGAAAACTGTGGCATAGCTAAGAGTTACAGCTAAGGATCTCGCAATACACAAGTGGTGTTCTGTGAATTTGTTATACTCTAAACTAAATGGGAGAACGGAGCAGAACAAGAGCATCACGGCTAACAGTAAGGCTAGAGTTAAAATAGGGTTACCTTCAAGGATGTCTCTACGGAAAATCGAAACCAGTAGGAATATTAAGACCGATACGCAGAATAGAACACCCAAAAGCGACAAAGAGAGGAAAGCAAAAACCCACGCTTCTGATCGGAAGTTCAGCAAAAACTCGCTTTCACTATCTAATACTATTTTAAAGTTCCTTTTTGAGAAATAGTTCACGCATTTTTCACCATATTCTCTTAAAGAAACGTTGGTTTCGAAACCTTGATCCGTGCTAGTCAAAGTGTCATTGAAAATGTTGTAGGTAAATGCTTTTGTGAAGGGTTGGAATAGATTGTTTCTCTTAAACAACTCCGTCAAGTTCAAGGTATTGTTTTCAACTCTAAACACTTCGTACACAAAGTTGTCCCTCAGTGGTTCGACCTTGAGCGTTTCGGTGATGATACTTGGCGTCATCAGAGCGGGATAGTAGCTTTTGTTGAATTTGTTTCGTAGGCAGTTCACTTTGTAAAGGGTGTCGTTGCAGTTTCTAGTAATGAATTCTTCTACGCTTTTTACATAGAGAAGAAGGGGCTTAGCGACTTCGAAAAGTAGAGGAGTTGGTGGTATATTTTCGGGTTTCTTGTAGATGCTGGACGGTGGCGAATGGACGGGTAGTATGACGTAACTTTTCTCAGGCAGATCTGAAAAAAATCAGGAAATTAGTTCCATGTAAAGGTTTAAATCTCGCAGATAATATATGAGTTTCTGATTTACTCAAAAAATATTTACCTGGTGGTACAGACCCCTCTAGTGGTACGAATAATCCATCTACATCTTCGTTATTGTCGATGAAATTTTGATTTTTCAGAAAGTCATGTATGTCGTCCTTCGTGCCGAAAAAAACGAAGGGGTATGTTATATTCAGTACCGTTGGGCAGTTGCTTCTGAAATTAAAAAAGACAATATGTAGGTAATATTTTTATCATGCACATAACATTGAATTTTATGCATATATACAGGGTGTTTCATAACTCTACCGATCTTAAAATATGACGATTTGTTATGTAACATTTTTTTCTGGGATGTACCATTGAAGAGACATTGACCTATGAAGATGAGTGTTAAATTTTGAAAAACAATATTTCAACAATGCCTTAACAGAAAGCAACCAAATTTGGTACAAGATTTGTGTTTATTGTTGTCTTTAATTGGTAAAAATATGAATTTATTGGAAGCTCAATAAAGCCTAGACAAGGGGTAAGGCGCCCTTAAAATAATATCGATTTTTTTATCAGTATGCCAATTATTAAATAGTTTTGCCAGTATTACCGGAAATTTAATTAAAACATTTCTTTTACTCTTACAACTTTTTCGAAAATATACCTAACGGTTTTGAGAAAATCGGGATTTTGAGAAAGAGCGTCATTACAAATTGAATCGGACAAAACGTAAAGTATGCAGGTTATGATTTCATATGTCATTTTTGACGTTTACAAAAAAAGTATCAAGAATAAGTTCATGTATATATATTTTTTAAAAACAAGCTTTTAGTGCCACCATGCATTGTCATCCAAACTAAACGTGTATGCAAAATTTCAGCTCAATCGGTTGGGGATAATTGTTTTAAAATTCAGATGCAAGATTTAGACGATACTGACAGGGCAAGTTAAATAAAAGCTTGTAAAAAGCAATTTCATTAAATTGCAAACCTCCAAAACTCTTCAAGTTGGTACAGTAACTGCAAAATATGTATGAAAATATTATATGCACAGTCAGTGAAGAACATCATTTTGAATATAATATGTCATATGTTTTTATCGCAAAAATGGCAATACATCAAATTTGTAAATTGGAAAATGGAAAATTAAAAAATTTTTGTTTCGAAAACTGAATCGAATTTTATGTTCTATTCGTTACAAAAACATAGCTTTACGCAGGAAGTTTTCCAAACTTGCATATATAAATAATTAAGACCACAAGGTTGTGAGGTCAACACAACATCCCGTAATTATAGCCTCTGCCACTAATTCACAACAATAAAAGATAATGTCTAATGTGTGATTTATTTTAATTTGCTGTACAACTGTAAAACACACTTTGAAAGTTATTGACGTTAGTAAGAGATTCTACAATGTACTATTTTGGCAAAAAACAGCACTTATTTTTTTAAATATAGAAAAACATTCTCTAGTACAAACATACATACCTAATTAATTAAATTAATTGAAATTGCAATTGTAATTATCTATACATAGACACATATTTTGCCCTCCTTTTCTTTCATAATGATATACAGGGTGTTTCTAAACCGTGGTGCCGAACTTAAATCGCACTTATATAGAAAAAATTACATTGCGTAAGGGTTTCGAATTATGGAAAAAGTTTAATCGAGCAGATAAAATACTTTTTATAAGAAAGACGTTTTGTTATAAAATATTACATATTTGACTGTTAGTTGTTGTCTGTCCAAAGCCTACACAGTTTTATGTACTATATTTTAATATTGAAATTACCATATTAGAAATTGAACATAATTAAAAGATACCTTTTGGTATTTTTTTTTGAAATGGTTGCGCGTGTGCCCTTTGTGAAGAATAAGCAAGGAATATATTTTTCGTAAGATTCTTTACTATTCTTCAAGATAGCAGAGTTGACGTTCGATCACTTCCTATGGTGGCTCTGCCGCGGTCCCATAGAGATCTTCGCCTTAGCATCTAACTTTTGGTCGTTTCGGATTTTCTGTCTCCTGGGGAGGATTCCATTCGCTCTGGTATCTAGGTTTGTCGTTCGGCGTGGTGGTTTATCTTCATGTTGCCCTGCTTCAGTTCGAATTTCGATGTATTTGGGAAACTTTTTATTTCCCAAAATCCGAAACTGAGGTTTTTCTGCACGTTTTCAGCATTGCCCTGCGTCGATGTCGACTACTGTGGCTCTGGTCGGAGGGGCTGGGAGTTTTGGGGACAGCTTTGTCGGAAATTTTCGAAAACTAGTCGAATTTCGATTTCCAACTTCATAGGGATTGTCGGCTAGATGTCCTCGAGTATCGGCATCTACTTTTGCTGGGATTTCTCTTCCCTAAATGGTCCGAAAACGGCTTCGTAGCTCAGATTCGGAAGTTGAGTGAAAATCGACAGTATAGTTTTAATGTAATATTATAAAAAGTAACGAGGTTGTTGTCAAAATGATATTAAATGGAAACAAATGTTTGACCACCCGTTCTTATGGCAACAAAATTGTATAAAGGAACTAGGTCTGAGTAGGTTTATCTTGATGACATCTCGTAATAAAACCAAATACACAATACCCTATTAAGATTACAAGTAACAGAAAATTTGATTTGACGTAGATTGACATGAAATTATCAACGTATCATTAATATCCATTACCAACTGACGCGTCCATTATAAATCTGAAAATTACGACGCGCTATCTACTCACAAATTCTGTTTTATTATACTACAACCCAGATCTATTTATAGGGCTTCTTGGTATTTTCAGTTTGCTATATCGTGAATAAAAACTCATAAGCAATCGATACAGTTTACGCGGTGAAGAGGTTAACTGATCCAAGCCCATAGCAGCACGAAAGGTTATGCGGACAATGTGGATTTCGTTCAATCCAGTTACTTTTTTTCATTAAATCAATTTATCCAATTTCAGTTCTAGAGCATATATAGGAAACTTTTACAAGGTGTCTCTTAATTCGAGTGTCAAACTTCAACAGGGCTGAATTTTAACTGAAATACAGCAGATTGAGACTTTTTTGTAGGCATATTCTTCTAATAATTGGTGATTAGTTACAAAAAAAAAATAGATTGAGTGTTTTCCACATCTTCACCCTTCAAAAAATGTTCATTGCACAAAATTACTTAATAATAGTTAAATTTAAATCATATTAGAGAAAATATCAGCTCTTAATTGGTTTTAAGAACTCAGAATAAAGTCAAAAGTCACCCACTTGATGATTAGCAGACACTAGGAATTGAGTAAAATTCATTCACTTCTGTTGCAATAGATTCACTCATAAAATTTTAGTTGTACTCGTACTAATAGAGTGAAAATTTCACTCAATCGGGTGTGGACAGAAATTGATACATTATTGAGTAAAATTGAGTGAATTTGAGTGAAATTTTTTTTACAGTGTATTTATTTAAGATAATGGAGTAATTCTTAGAGAAAATAAAATATGCGTTTGTAGTCAATAAATGAAAATTACAAATCCAGCTCCAAATACATATATTGTATATTTTAGTCTAGTGTCTATTTTAGGAATATTTGTGTGAGTTTTCATGACAGTGCTTTCTGTGTCTGTTATAATAAAATAATAATTTACAAAATAAAAGTAATACGTAAAATCATGATTCCAGATATTAATAACAGTAAAATAATTCCGAAATTGAAATTTTAATTACTACATATTTCGTTTAACAATAATTTTTGTGACATATTTGTAAATTAAAAAAAATTAAGTATAAAAGATGCATTTTTTCTGGGGTTCAGGGCTATTCTACGAATTCGTAAATATGCCCATTGTTATTTTTTCGTCGAGCTACCCCTGTTTAAAAGCAAAAATAAGTTTCTACGATGAATAGAAGCCGAGATATTGCAAAATTTACAGCGCTCATCAATTTGAACTTCATTGGATTTCATTTTTCATGCGCGCGCGACTCGCTTGGACGAGCTTCCCCCACCACCACGCCGCCGGCCGCCGGACAGTTTACTTAGCGAGTACCTTCCCTTTAAAGGGCACGCGAGTCTTTAATTTTCCACATTTTTCAGTGCATTTCACGGGAAATCATAGTTTACGTCGAAAACTTTATTTTGCGAAAAATTCAAGTCTTAATGTTTATAAACAATTGGGCTACAATTTAAAAAATATCTTATCTTGGCTCCTGTTGGTCGTAGAGGGTGCTTTTTTTAAAAAAAATTGTATTTTTTTGCCAGCTATCCATTGTATCTATTTTGGGTGAGGTAGCATAAATAGCAACAATTTTATTCAAATTGTTTATAAGCGAAAAACGCACGGTTTTTTAATGCACAATTTGAGAATGTTAATGTCAAAAAAACGGTTATATTTTTTAATAGGTCGCTTAATTACGTCTTGAAGATTACAATGACGCTTTCAGAATCATGTTTGGTTGAAAATTAACGCCTGTACAGAGGCTTAAAGTTCATAACTTTTGGAGCCTCCGTTATTGTGCGAAAACTATTGCACCTACAGCGCCCACTTTTGGCACACTTTTAAAGTATGACAAAACCCTCGACTTGTCATAGGTTTTATAAAATTTTAACAATAAGTGCGATAGTTACAAACAAATTAAAAAATGGGCACTTTTCTTGTTTTTTTTGCATTAACTTTTTTGTTTATTAGCCCATTTTAATTTAACAAGTCTCATTTTGTAAATAATTTTACTCCCTACAAGCTGTCTGTGAGTCACTTTTCGCTAAAATTGATGGTTTTCCCTGCAAAGTGAAAAAACTGTTTTCCTCATTTATTTGTTTAAATGGAAAAGTTAGCTAATAAAAGTTTTTGACTCACGAGATGAGAGATGTCTTGTATTATGTTCCTTTAGATAATTTTACAATAATATCGCGGATAGGACTTTTTTCGAGTTTCTCTTTTATTTTCGCTAATTTTCCTGGTATATAATGTTTTCTAGTTACCAATATATTCAATGAATATGACTTTTTGGTGTACAAATTACATTTGTGACGAATCGCCCAATCTGTCAATGATGGTTTCGCTCCACTAACTTCAATTATTGAAAAGTCATTAGCGATCTCTAACTCTGTATCTTTGTAAGTAGGCATTTTTTATTTGACCAACTATTTTGTGTTGGCTAGAATAACTTTGGCTTAAATTTTCTACACCTAATTATGACTCACTCTGTATAAATTATAGTCAACAATGCTACAAATGATACAAATATTTACTGAGTCGTTTAAATCCGGGAAGCAAATTGTATCTAATATAGAAATTCGTCACTACGTACCCGTAAACCAGGCAGTCTTTCACACACACATACTCCCGTCTGGAGTATCGATAAAACTCCCTCAAAATGTTCTTATCAGGGGCCAGAACAGTAACATTTTCGTTCCATCCCAAGGCACTCAAAACTTTAATCGAAGACTTCATGAGGTACTCATGATGCCTATAGGTAACGGCAGTCCTGATCTCCAACACTTCACAAAACTGCAACACTTTTTCGTTCAAATTCGTATCGCTTATTACCCCCAAAAGGTACTCCTCATCCTGCTGGTACAAATCGAAGATCGTCTTGTAATAATCCCCCTCAGTACAAGCCTCGTACACCCCAATACCCAGCTTGAGCGGCGCCAAGATCCCCAAGAAATTCACCCGCTCCGTCGTCCACACGGCAGAAGACATCAGGGTCTGGTGCTGATAGGGAACCACGTCACTGACGTTCCTGCAGGAGTTGACGATGAGGGCGACGTTCACATCGCCTTCGACGGCGTAGATTTGTCTCACTCCTCCAGCTCCGATCACGCTTGACGCCGCTACTAATAACAGCAGCTCGAAGGGTACCATTTCGCACTGCGTATTATTGTTTTACAGAAAAAATACTGGCCGATGAGCAGCGTGACGTTTGTTTTTCCGTTTCCGGTTCAGGCATCGGTGCACAAAAATCAAACAAAACGTGCCGAAGGCCTGCTGTTTGTGTGTGTGTGTTCCAGGTGAATTACACACTGTGCTACCCCGCTACGATATGGCGTGAGTCAGAAATTGCTAGGGAACAATCAATACAAACTTTTTAAGTGCGAGTACCAGCTAAGATAGTGAAGTATGAAAATAGAGGCACCGGCGTTGGTTGATCGATTCACGAGCGGGATGGATGTGTGTTCCTGAAATTATAATTGGCAGAAGGAAGCCGCCTAAGCGGAGTTAAACTCGTTAAGGGCTTTGCTGCGGAAAATCGAGGGGGTGTTAAGTTTCACATTAGGATTAACTGTGGGAGATAGTCAATCGGGAATGGAAAAGTTTCCTTGCGTTTGGTGTAGGGAAGTATGGGCATGGGGAAAAATTTTAAAGAATTTCTATATGAAGGTTCACATAAAATTTATACCGGGGGGTTCAAATTGGTCGGTTTTCAAGGATTACTGAGAATCTGTCATTGATAGAGCAAATCTGATAGACGAAACCAGAGCTCTTTTTTCAAGAAAATAACAATGGCGCAAATAGTATCTCTCTATCCGTTACTGTCCGCGGATTGAGTTTACAGGAGGACAAATGGACCAAAAAGTGAAAGATACGAAAAAAGGCATTCTGGTTAAAAATTTTTCCTTGTTTGGAAAATATTTATTATTTATAAAAATTTTGTTGTACAGGGTGGGTCAAAAACACACAAATGTTATTTTGCGTAAGAGTAAACATACTTTAATTTGCAAGATACGAAAAAAGGCATGATCGATAAAAGTTTTTGCCTGAAAAATGAATAAGAGTCACCTTCTCAAAAATTTAATTTTTTATACAGGGAACAAATCACAAAACTAAAATACGTTTTATTCAAGTGTCATTTTTAAATAGTACGAACATAAATACAACAACAATTAAGCTATAAAAAAGTAGATAAAGCTATATTTCAAAAATACCACCCCCATATTGAACACATTTTTCTAATTGCTGCCTTTAGTGGAGTCAAGATAGATTTTGACTTCGCGAAAATTACGGGAAGAGAGAACTTTTTATTTTTCGCTTTGTAAAGTTGTCAGAAACAACATATGTATAAAAAGTTACCAACTGTAGAGTGTACGCTAAATTATTTATTTAAAAAATGAGTTGCAAAATTAGTTTTTGCAAAATATATAAAAAAATATAATTTAAAAAAAATTAACTGCGCCATTCGAAAGAACAGGAAATTTTACATAAAAAATGTTAATAAAGTTTTTTTCTAAAATGCGAATTGAAGGCTGTAGAATTTTTTTTCTAACGTACGAAAAATGAGACGGGCGGCCCCCAAGTATAGCTCTCGAAGAGCGCGCGGCCCCGAGCGCGCTACACTAAATTTGTTATAACTTTTGATCTAATTGATCAAATCGACCTCACAAAAATTTAAATGAAAGAAGAGTCATACGGCTATCAAAGTTTTATGTCTTTAAACTTGAAAAAAAAATATATATAGTACGTATACAAAGTTACGTCATTCTATAATTTTGTACAATAATAATAAAATAGCTGTCATTCTTTTAATTTTTAAAATAAATATCTGTAACTTTCACAGATTACTCTTCAAATGACGATTGAAACAGTGAGCGATATGGAAAAAATCTTAAAAATTTAATTTGAAAAATATTGAGCCCAACATATTCAATAATTTTAAAAAATCACAAATTTGACTTTTTAGGCCATACTTTATAGATCAAAAACTATAGTTGTAAATGTGATATTGAAACTTTATGAGAGCACTTTTTAAAGCTTAAAATCTCTACTTTAAGATGGTGCATTTTATTTTTCTTAAAAAATTGAAATAATAGTTGAAAAAACAGAAAATAACAAAAAATAAAAATATTTCATGAAAAATCCGTGAAATTTATTGTTAAATAAAGTTTAATAATGCAAAAAAATTTTTTTTTGTTTAATAAACCATCAAAGAATTAAGTTAAGACCTTAAAAAAAGTAAATCCAGCGAAAAATATTTTTTTTATTTATAGTAATAAGTGGAAAATTGTTATAACAGCAAAAAAATAACGTTTTTTGATGAATTGATTTAATATTCATTTTTAAAACGTATATTCTGTATCTGAAATTGTGAATATAAGTTCTCTTATTGATGTAGACACAGATATGAGTTTGGGTGACGAAGCTAAGCAGTGAGCACACCAAATATTTTTTTGTTACTTACAGTTTTATTTATTTTAAAAGCGTTTTTCGTTTATAAGAATTAAATAATTATTATTATAAATGGTATAAGAATATGATTTTTATGTTTTCGAGTAAGGTGCAGTTATCAGTGTGTTAAAAAGTTTATTATTCACATATTTTGTCCATTTTGAGGTTATACTCTCGTACACTTGTAATTCTTTAATGTAATATTATTACTTAATATTACAAATAATCTTCAGTTTGCATTTAAGGTATTTATATTCGTTTTCTTTTATGCTAAACCTGTAAATGTATGAGTTTAATATTTATATATGAATATTGATCCATTTTTAAAATAATTAATGAATAAATAAATAATAGGGGACGTTGATTTTGATTTTGTAATTTTGTATTTAAAATCAGTGTTTTTTTTTTCAATATTATTGGCTTAAAGCCTTAATTGCCCAGTTATTTTTTAAGAAGAGCAAGAACTCGATGAGCTATAAAAATTAATTATTTTGTAATAAATTTGTTTTTTAAAAAATAAAACATATTTTCAATAAAATCTCTTTAGCCATTTATAATTTTCATATTTCGAACCTCTATATTACAAATATGAGCGAGTTTGATTTAAAATCAATAATTGTTAAATAAATTGTTTAAAATACTCGGCCATATTGCATCAGCCATTTTGAATTTTCATTTTCCGACATAATATTCTTGTTTAGCGACCTCAAAAACCCCTATTTTACAAATATGAGCGAGTTTGATTTAAAATCGATAATGATTAAATAATTTGTTTAAAATAGTCGGTTATATTGGATCAGCCATTTTGAAAGAATTCGATTTAAAATTCATTGAATTATTTTAAATGTTCTTAAAAAAACTATTTATTATTGTTTACACAATTAGCGTACAAACATAATTTTTATAACTTTTTTCTAATACTTATCTCCAAGTAATTTCAAAAGGTTTTAGGAAAATCCATGCTTCCCATAATTATTTAGATTAGATTAGATGTTTTATTTTGTTTTGAGACAATTACAAATTGTATAACAATAGTCACTTATGTGTATAGCAGATATTTAAAGGAAAAACAAATGTAACTTAACCTAGGAAGCAAAAAAACTCACTCATGGAATAAAAACATTTGGTCACTAAATATAATTTTAATTTTACTTTAAATTGATAAAAAGATACTTTTTCTTAATTCAATAGGTAATTTATTAAAAATTTGAGGCCCTAAACAATTTGGTGACTTATATTGAAATAATGCGTAATTTTAAGCTATCTTGATAAAAACATATCGGTCGTGCAAGTCAGGGCTCCTTTGGGGCTACCATTTCTACCAATTCATCTTGGACCAAATTTATGGTTAAGCCATTCTGTTACCTCACGAGCACAATGTGCTCCTGTTGAAAATACATTTTTCGGCGAAAATTTAAAAGTAAATTTTCGAGATTTCTAAGTGCGATATTCTATTGTAAGTGTTATTGTAAAATTATGGACCTATAATGCCATGGACAGATATCGCAAACCACACTTTCACTTTTGTAAAATATTATCTTCGTGTCATTATTCTAAATTCAGGGTTTTCTGAAGACCAATACTTGACGTGCTGGGATCCTACAGTTCCATTAGTAGAAAATGTAGGTACATTCATCAGCAAACATAATAAACTTAGAAAAATCAATATTTCTATTTAAAATTTTGTCTCCTACCAACAAACAAAAATATAGCCTTTTCGCTTCATCTCCGTCTTCCAATGTTTGATTAAAGTGTGATTTGAACGAAAATATTTTATTTTCTTTTAAAATCTGAATATGACTNATTCTTTAATGTAATATTATTACTTAATATTACAAATAATCTTCAGTTTGCATTTAAGGTATTTATATTCGTTTTCTTTTATGCTAAACCTGTAAATGTATGAGTTTAATATTTATATATGAATATTGATCCGTTTTTTAAATAATTAATGAATAAATAAATATGTGTTTTTTTTTTCAATATTATTGGCTTAAAGCCTTAATTGCCCAGTTATTTTCGAAGAAGAGCAAGAACTCGATGAGATATAAAAATTAATTATTTTGTAATAAATTTGTTTTTTAAAAAATAAAACATATTTTCAATAAAATCTCTTTAGCCATTTATAATTTTCATTTTTCGAACCTCTATATTACAAATATGAGCGAGTTTGATTTAAAATCAATAATTGTTAAATAAATTGTTTAAAATACTCGGCCATATTGGATCGGCCATTTTGAATTTTCATTTTCCGACATAATATTCTTGTTTAGCGACCTTAAAAACCCCTATATTACAAATATGAGCGAGTTTGATTTAAAATCGATAATTGTTAAATAAACTGTTTAAAATAGTCGGTCATATTGGATCAGCCATTTAGAATTTTTTTTTTCCGACTTGATAGTCTTGTTCAGCGACATCGAAAACCCCTATATTGTCAATTTGAAAGAATTCGATTTAAAATTCATTGAATTATTTTAAATGTTCTTAAAAAACTATTTATTATTGTTTACACAATTAGCCTACAAACATAATTTTTATAACTTTTTTCTAATACTTATCTCCAAGTAATTTCGAAAAGTTTTAGGAAAATCCATGCTTCCCATAATTATTTAGATTAGATTAGCTGTTTTATTTTGTTTTGAGACAATTACAAATTGTATAACAATAGTCACTTATGTGTATAGCAGATATTTAAAGTAAAAACAAATGTAACTTAACCTAGGAAGCAAAAAACTCACCCAAGGAATAAAAATATTTGGTCACTAAATATAATTTTAATTTTACTTTAAATTGATAAAAAGATACTTTATCTTGTCTTAATTCAATAGGTAATTTATTAAAAATTTTAGGCCCCAAACAATTTGGTGACATTGGTTATTTCGAAATAATGCGTAATTTTAAGCTATCTTGACTCAACTACTTAGATATCTGAAGGAACTTCTGATTTCCCTATGGGATATTGAACGGACAGCCTGGGTAATTTTGCTTTTTAGCATTTCAATATTATTTTGTATTGGAGTAGGATAAATAATTTGTTTTAATCGCCCCATAAAAACATATCGGTCGTGCAAGTCAGGGCTCCTTTGGGGCTACCATATCTACCAATTCATCTTGGACCAAATTTATGGTTAAGTCATTCTGTTACCTCACGAGCACAATGTGCTCCTGTTGAAAATACATTTTTCGGCGAAAATTTAAAAGTAAATTTTCGAGATTTCTAAGTGCGATATTCTATTGTAAGTGTTATTGTAAAATTATGGACCTATAATGCCATGGACAGATATCGCGAACCACACTTTCACTTTTGTAAAATATTATCTTCGTGTCATTATTATAAATTCAGGGTTTTCTGAAGACCAATACTTGACGTGCTGGGATCCTACAGTTCCATTAGTAGAAAATGTAGGTACATTCATCAGCAAACATAATAAACTTAGAAAAATCAATATTTCTATTTAAAATTTTGTCTCCTACCAACAAATAAAAATATAGCCTTTTCGCTTCATCTCCGTCTTCCAATGTTTGATTAAAGTGTGATTTGAACGAAAATATTTTATTTTCTTTTAAAATCTGAATATGACTTTTTTTCACAGCTTTTTACTGAATATGACTTTTTTTAACTGTTTAGTACGATTTCTAAGGGACATCACAGGAGTTTTTCTAAGATACTGTAGAACTAAACTAACTGTAACAACAAAACGTTTTTTTTTCGTATCTTGCAAATAACTTACTCTTACTCAAAATAATATATTTGTGTTTTTGACCTACCCTGTACAACAAATTTGAGGTTCGTCATGGTGATTCGTATTTTGTAAACAAGCAAAATCTTTTATCAAGAATGTCTTTTTTTCGTATTTTTCACTTGTTGGTCTATTTGTCCTCTTGTAAGAACTAAATTTATTGGTAATAATTTCACGTTTACAAAAATTTAAAAGTCGAATTTTCACAAAATTTGTCCGTCATGATTTTAGGAATTGTGTAAATTTTCATGTTTTTTCCGTGTAACGTATAGCATTAAATTGTGTCAAGAATATTTAGTAATTCTCGTATGTGTGTATTTTAAAGTTAATATATTCTTATGTAGGTATCTCATTATATTGCCCTGTAAATGAAACTCAAATGATACTACTTCGAAAATTAAATTTTCGAGAATTTTTTTTAATGAAAAATAACAGTTCGCAGATGCTTAAGCCTACCAAGAAAATTATTTTGTGAAAATTGTGGGCAAAACATGCGTTTCGCTTACTTATAAATAATATATCTGCACCTACTACAAAAAATTAAAATATAGGCCAGTATCAATGTTGTTACCGGCTTCACTGTATTGCATCTCTGCATTTACCACATTGTTCTTTTGCGAAAGTATATGGTTTTTATAGAACAAGAGAAATTTCTTAGTACTTTCTGTGTCAGTTAACAAGGTTGAACACGAACTATTTATTTATTTACACACAGTTTGAGGAGTAAATTTAAGTTTTTAAAAACTGAAAGCTGTTATAAAATTCGTTATAATCTATTTTAAAAATAAATTGACAATTGTTTGTTTAATTGAAATTTAGGCACTCCAAGAAATTTCATACCGCTTTGTATTTTATCTCCCAAAATAACATGAACATGCACATGCAAAATAACAATAACACACATGCCAGCTTATTTAATGGTAAATACACATTTATTAACACGATTTTATAATCAATACAGTTATTTATAAAAATTAACCTTGCCCTAATGAAATTTCTTCTGACTTGAAAGCAGATACCGTTGTTTTTACTTCTATATTTTCAATAACAGCACAGCTTATAATAAATAACTATTATGGCTTCGACAATAGAGGTGTGTCATGCTTTCTAATTGTTGCTGTAAAATATACAACGTGGACGAAGAAAATATACAACGGTGTGTATAATTTTAAATAAAATCAGAATTTATAATAATACAAGGTGTTCCGCATAAGAACCTACACAGAGTAGGGTTATGTAGTAAAATCTTGCATAAATTAATATTAAACATGGAATTTTGAACAATTTAGATTTAGATTTATTTTTCACATAAAAGTTAATGTTATTTCTTGATCATTGTCGATTTACTGTCTGTTTCTATTCCAGAAAAAAATGTTGCTTCTAAATTTAATAAACATAATACCCTTGTTTATGATAATACTGATTAAAACTTACAAGAGATTTGTTTACTTTTCAACAGAGGTTTTTATTTACGACCATAATTCAAACGTATGTTTTCGATACACACCCTGTACAAACACATTTTCCAACGGATCAATTAAAGCCATCTCTTTGGAAAGTTATGCCCGCAGTCACTTACATCCTGTGTCAAGTGCCATTTCCCTCAAAGCCATTATCATTGCTTTCTTCAAAGTTATTAAACTTTCTCCATCGTCCATCGGACATCAGTTCCCATTTTGGTGTCGACTGGTGAAGAAGTATTATACAGTCGGTATTAACCACGATTACGTCCAAAATGATCGTTTACTATACTTACTTGAAATATTTGGCTTTCGCTGTAGTTGCGGCTTCTCTACCAGTAATAGGGTTGATTGTACTCAAGTTTATACAAAAATTCAGCGCTGGAAAGGTAAAAAGTTTGGTATGCTTGAGTGGAAAAACGGCTATAGTGACGGGAGGATGTTCAGGTGAGAGAAAAAAACAATTTTGTCGCTCTCTTCTTTATTTTTCTCAAGAGATACCCACAAGGCATTTCGAAATGTAAGAAAGTGAACATCTTTTGTGATATTTTAAAAATCTATAAGTGGATTTATACAAATTTGGGACAACATGTAGAGTTATTTTAATTTGGATAATTTCAGTTCCATCGTTTTATTCAGTGGCGTGAAGGGGGAGTGTTTTTTATGTAAAAAGAACGTCAGTTTCCCGAAAAATTAGTTAACTTTCGACATAAGACTAGTCATTACAAAGCATTGGAAAACATAAGATGAAAATCCCTTTATTTTTCTAATGGAGGCAGTAATGAATTTGCTAGGTTACCTTTTGGACAAATAGATCGAGAAAAATTCTTATTACACATATTTTGCATTTGGGTCTAGACATTTTAGGATTGTTTGACGTCTTTTTTTTAACAAAATTGAAAATATCTTGCAAACTACTCATTATGTTATATTCCATCAAAATATATCTGGAAAATGTAAGTATTTTTACATACTTTTATTTCGAGATTAATCAATGTTTCCAATTTTTTACTTAAAAATCTTTGTTTTCCATTAGTGTTTTCTGTTTTTTCCGAATTGTTAAATTTCTAATTGGGATTGTCTAAATTAGACCTTGAATGAAAAAATTAAAATATATAATTGTGACCTAAAATACATTTCTTTGTCCTTCAGAACAAGATACCAAAATTATTTATATGGAATATTAATAAAAAATTCTAAGGATATTCTGATTCTGAACGTGTGAGAGCAGGGGACCAACATTATGCCTCTAAAAAATCAAGGCTAACATGATTAGTTTTCGACATATTTGAAAAAAAAGAAATTTTGGAAATCTGTGTTTGTTTCATTGCAGCCTTGTTTGAGAAGATATTGAAAAATGAAAAACACTTTCTCATGGCAACTTTTTACAGTCTATCGAATAGTATAATTTGCAAGCCTTCATGACCCCCAATACTGTACTGCCTCAGCCCGAACCAGATTCAGACGTATTGTCTCGAAAAATTTATTTTCAATGTATTCGTTCCAATTTTATCTAATTTTTTTGTTAATTTCTGTTTCTTGAATTATCGTACACTGTAAGTGTCGTTAGACCCTGTGAAATCCACCTAGTTATTTAAACTACTGCAATCACACGTTACAATAAAACATTATTAGAGTTTTAATCCCGAGCTCATAGTTATTTCTAGTTCTAACCTTAAAATTTAAACAAATTTCGATCTAATTTTTTTTAGGATGTTCATACATCTTACATGCTCTTTAGCAGTTGCGGTTACAGGTATAATAAATCCCGATAATATTATGCTTATCTTTATATTCAACATTTGTCAAAACGGAAACGTTTTTGAACATTTACATATTGTAATTTTTTAAGTATAATAGGTATTCATTAGCTGTTTTGGTTATTCATATGCATTTTTAAGAATTAATTTGTCATAATGAAATTAAAATTGTAATATTGTTTTAATTTTGACGCAACAACTTATCGAATTATGTACTTATGACCAGGTGATTGAGATTAAAACTAGTGTTTTATTGTAACGTGTGATGGTAATAGTTTAATAGTTTAAATAACTAGGTGAATTTCACAGAACGACACTTAGAGTGTACGATAATTCAATAAATATAGACATCTAAATAAAAAAATTTAGATAAATTTGGAACGAATACAGTGACGATGAATTTTTCGAAATAAAATGTCTGAATCTAGTTCGGGCTGAGGCAGTACAGTATTGGGGGCCATGAAGTCTTGCAAAAAATGTAATAAAATTTCCAGGGTCGTATTGAAAAAAATGAATTTGATGATGGTCCCGGAGAGACGAAACGTTACATATAAAAATTGATTATACCATTCGATAGAGCGCAAAAAATGGCCATGAGAAAGTGTTCTTCTTTTTTCAATATCACCTCAAACAAGGCTGAAATGAAAAAAAAAACGGATTTCCAAAATTTCGTTTTTTTTTTTTCAAATATTTCGATAACTAATCATGGTAGCCTTGATTTTTTTAGAGGCATAATGTTGGACCCCTGATAATGCAACTTTACCCCCATTAAAACTACTCTCTTACCGTCTCCGAGATCCCTGTAGTGAGAAGCGAATTTGTAACAACCTGTATACCAGTTTTTAATTTTTAATGACTTGAAAATTGTTTTCATAAAAACTGTTGTTCTCTTAGGTATCGGCTTCGAAACGGCCCTAGTACTGGCCTCCAGAGGCGCAAGGGTTATCATAGCCGACAGGAAAGACGCCACCAAAGCGAAGAACAAAATAATTGAAATCACACACAACACCAACATAGAGACTAAGCACCTCGATTTGACATCATTGCAGTCGGTGAGGAAGTTTGCCAAGGAAATCAACGGCACCGAGGAGCGATTGGACATCTTGATAAATAACGCAGGGGTCGGCACCGTCGGCAACAAACACACTGACGACGGCCTACATTCCACCATGCAAATTAATCATTTCGGGCCTTTCCTGCTGACACATTTACTTACAGGTATGAGTTAGGTTAATTTGTTTCCGTGTTTTATAGAAATAACAGTAGGAACTCGGGTAATAAAGTAAAGGACTTTGTACAATTTAGATACTTGCTGTATGCGAATAGTTCGCTGCCTACTGGTTTGTTCAATAACTCGATACAAGGTAGGAAAATGGAGTTATTGCAAGTTCTCAAGCATCGGTACATGTCCAGCCTTGTAACTCTTTTTTTGCGAAGTAAATTGGTCCAGTGGAGATATTATTTTTAATATGAGGAGTGTGGGTAGGTTTAAGGGAAATATAGGTATTTGTTGTAGGTATATTGTGAGTAGATTCTATTCATCAACTGTTTTGTTTGTGACTGTAAACGTTCTTTGTAATATTATTTTTTGTTTGTGGAACTGTAATAATATCCTCTATTATTTATGTGGTCAAGTTTCATATTCAACAACTCATTTCGACGACAAGCTCCGTACAGTCCCATAATAAGAGAAACCTATAATGCAATGCTAATAAAAAAACATAATTAATTCAACTTAGTTTACCTTGATCATAATATATTCCGAATCATGTGCTCCCTTAAAAAATTTAATACATTGTTCTTGAGTCAAACTTTTAGACTTTTTGGGCAGGAAATTTACAGAATTTTGTTTAAAAAATGTTCGAACTTTAGGGAAATTATCAAAATTAATATTTTCCTTGACATTAAAAATGTTTTTCAACATCGAAAATTCTGACTATAGTGTACCTGCATTTATAATCTTTGATCTTTCTGATAGATAAGCAAGTAGTACATTTTCTGTTAAGATTTGGCTTTTTTATTCCTCTTCTAGTTATTGAACAATTTATAATACTTTTCGTACCGTTGTCTTGACTTTATAGGTAACAAATTCAGATAAATATTGCTAGCTTCCTCTTGCAACTATGGTGGAGTATCCGTAAATTCTTCGTCACTTTTTGTTGTGTGTTTTGATTCCAAATTTTGGTTTAAATTATTACTTTCTGTCATATTTTTTGGTTAATATGATTCATTATGCTAAGAGAAAAATATAAGAGCGTTCTTTTTCACTTTCAGTAGCGTTAGTATCAGAATTAAAAATGTTATCTTCACCATCCGAATTATTATAATCTTGAATGTTTATAATAATTTGATCTATAACACAGGTCGAGCACAGGTTCTAATTAATTCTGTTTCAATCTTTTTGGCATGTTGGCACTGAATATTCCATTCCTGTGGTTTAAATGTATTGAAAAATTCATTGCATAACTTTTCTACATCTGTCAAGTTTGACTTATGCCCAAACAAGTTCGATGGAGTTCAGGTGAAGGTGGTTTGGAGGTAGTCTCAAAATAATACGATCTTGTTTCTTTGAAATATGATTGGCTTCATATATTTTAAATATGTAACTATTATATACTATATTTATACACATATATATTATATATTATATACTTTTGTAACTATTTTTTGTAATTTTGATAATACATAAGTACATGATGTCATGATGTTTTATTTTTCGACTAGTTTCGCGTCTGATATAAAACCATTTTCCAATCCATCATGGACTATAACTGAACGCCTTTTGATTCATGTTTTCGGAGTCATCTGTTGCATTCAACACACCAAGCATTTTCATTGGCGTGCGAAAAATGAATTTACGTCTCATGTTTTACGGGAAAACGCCACACGGGACCAAATACAATAATAGAATTATTGTAAACTGACTGAAATATATGTACAATGTATACATTTAAGAGTCACCCTGTATATCCCGAGTTTTTTTTTAGATCTACTCAAGAAATCTGCACCTAGCCGAATAATCTTCGTCAGTTCCGTTTACGCCTTCTGCAGCAACTTGACGTTGGACAACCTGAACTATCCCCAGGGACATCCACTTTCCCTGTTCCGAACGTCTCTAATTTACGGAAATTCTAAACTAGCCAACATAATAGCTGCCAACGGCTTCGCTGAGAGGTTAAAAGAATACGGCATCACCTCCAATTCCTTGCATCCTGGACTAATCAACACTTCCATCTATGTGAAATCTGCCAAGTACCTAGGACTACAAAGCTTGGCTAGACTTTTTAGGAATATCTTCCTCTTTGCGTACGGGAAGGTAAGTGTAGCTGTGCAAGGTATTCCTTAATTCGACTATCAAACTTCTAGAAGGTGTACCTTGTACCACCTTGGCTGAACTTGGCATAAAAAGTTCGAATTAACTAGGGATCATTTTAGTTTTCTTATGTAACAGTTTGGAGATACATAGTTGCTGCTGTTTATTTTTAATCTTCTAAACCACTTGAAGAAGCAATACCAGATTTGGTACGCGTTTTTGGCTGTTGATGCCGCATATTTACGCAGAAGCATATAAATCCACTTTTCCATAGCTGTTTCAATAGAGAAAATATAGAATTCTTTTGTCTCTTGAAAAAAAGTAGGTTTAGACCCTAAGTATGAAAGGGTGATAGTAATTCAATAGCCAAAAACGTATACAAAATAAGTAGTTAAATAAGGAAAGAATGAATTCACTTCCAGGCTATCACCAGGCTACCGCCATCCGGAGCTGGCACCAGGTCTCCAGCAGCAGCCATGGCGATTCTGTCTTCCAAGGTCATGCTGGAGAAGTGAGTTCAGTCTCTCTTTGTTTAACTACTAAAATGAGATTTCTGCAAAGTATTTTGATAAATTCGATCACGAGGTACTGCTATGCAAGCTTCAATGCTTTGGTGTTAGTTAATCTCTTTTGCACTTGTTAGAATCATATGTTTCCCATTGCGTCTAATTCGTGCTGTACATACAATGGCTGATATACACTAGGCACAGAAATTAAGGGATATTGAAAAAATCTCAAAATTTTGGTTGTAATTTGGAGGGAAATGATCGTAGAGAGAATAAAAGATCGTAGAGAGAATAAAAAAAAGGAAATTGAAGCTTCACATGTGTCCAGTTTTCAGATCTGGAGTTTAACATTGTTTAGCGTCAACAGTTTTTGAGTAATCATAAAAAAATTTACGAAAAAAAATTTGCAATTTTTTTTCCAAAAGGTTCAATACTTGGATGTTACATTTGGATGGAATTTTTTCTAAGATACAATTATGTTTTAGACTCCTGAAGAGGGTGCCCAAACGACCATCCATCTAGCTCTCTCAAACAAATTGAAAGATGTAACTGGTAAACACTTTTGGGATTGTAGAATGTTCCCCATGCCACTTAGCGCTTGGAATAAGAAATTCTGTGACGATATTTGGGAAAAGAGCGAGCAGCTAGTTGAGCTAAAGCCAGAAGAAAGGTTATAAGACCTTAAGTTCAATTAATAACCTTGCCTTAGTATCTATAATGTTAATTTAATTTAATAGTAGTTAGTATTCGTTGTTCTTGTTAAATGTTTATTTAATTACATAGCAATGATTCTACATCACTTTTTAGGATTTAAAATGAATCGATTATTACTCTCATTATTCATTGTTTTATAAATAAAATGGAATCTGTTCCTCTAAAGTGCTTATTTTATTATATATGCAACCAGTCAAACACCTAACCCGTATTACTGTTGCCTAACATCATCTATGCAAACCACAAACCAACACGGTGTATTCCCAGTTGCATACCACTCGGCGTATTATCGTTCGCGACGAAATTACCACCTGAAAACTGGACGGGCGATGGGGCTAATGTTCTTGTCGCGACCTTCTGGATGGGTGCGAGCGCGACCTAGACTGGCCAAGAATCACCACTGTCATGCCTGAGGATTATCGGCTGAGGCAAGCCAATGGTCTTCAGTACAGAAAAGTGCGCGACGCTGTGAACCCAAAATTTGACTGTCGGGGCCGCACATAGAAGCACGTTTCGGTGAGTACAACGGGGCCTTTTTAGGAATACGATTTTCGATTTTGGTACTTTTATTTATTACTTCCGCGAATTAGTAGTTGTATAAATAATAATAAAGTAACGTATTCGATTTGAATTTCATTTTAAATTTTCAATAATGATAATGGAGTTTTTATAATAAACAAATTCAAGTAATTTTGGTTTCTGAATATACGGGGTGTATTTAGATAAAGGAGCGCAAATGCTATCAGATAATATTGAAGTGAAAATTTGAGAGTTGGTCTTAATATAATAATAATAATTCAGTGTGAAGTTTTGGAAATTCTATATCTAAGCTCGCTTAATTCATAATTCAAAGTTCAAAAGAAAAATTAATTTTATTCCTAAAACTTTTCGTTTTATAAAAAATACGTGTTTTTTGTTACAAATACACTTTTAAATAAAATTTAATAATTAATACCCCAAAATGGGGATATTTTTAATTTTTTGGGATTTCAATGATTATGTTGTAATAATAAAAATTGCATTTGTAATAAATTCTCGTACATTGTCTTTGTAAAAATTATTGGTAGGTACAGGGTGATTCACTATATTTTGATCCCCCATTTAACTTTTTTTGTTTTAATAGTTATAAAAAAATGTGAATTATAAAAGTTGCACGAGTTTTTATGAATTTTTCGAAAATGATAGTAGAAAAACAATTGAAGTCCAAACAAAATAACCGCGGATGTTAACTTTGTTAAGTTAAATGGAACATCCTGTATATTTGTATATATTTGGATAGAACGTTCCCTGTCGAGCATAGCCACATAGGGTTTGTTGGGCCCATCTGTAAAAATAAGCAAGATACTTTAAAAAAACGAAAAGAAGGTTTTTTATTAAGAAAATAATACATCTTGTAATTGTTAGACCTATTTCAGGCAGTTCTGCCTTTTTTTCAATTACGTAAGGATTTACAGATTTAGTTATAATATATTTTGATATATCGCACATTGATACGGTCCAAAATGCGTATAGGTAATGTAGAATTTGTATAGAACGTTCCCTACGTTCTATACAAATATTTAAAATATACAGGGTGTTCCATTTAACTTAACAAAGTTAACATCCGCGGCCATTTTGTTTGGACTTAATTTGTTTTTCTATCATTTTCGAAACATTCATAAATACTCGTGCAACTTTTATATTTCACATTTTTTTATAACTCTCAAAATAAAAAAGTTAAAGGGGGGTCAAAATATAGTGAATCACCCTGTACAGTGTTAACATTATTTTAGAATTATTCGGTTGTATTAGTATACAAGTTTCTCGTAGGCTAAAAGAAATAACCCTAAGTGATTATTTTTTTTAGATGAGTTTATGGTTTTCACAAAAATAAATTTAGTAAATTTTTATATATACCTATTTAGTTAAGTTCCCAGTACAAGTTTCATAAATCTAGGTAAAGCATCTTTAGAGATATTTGGATATTTGTGATATTTCTTAGAAACCCGCAGATAAACCAGTTTTGGGCTACTACTAACTACTTATCGGGTAGTATTTGTGCTTCTTTATTTAAATACACCCTGTATTAGATTGTATGGTTCAGAAGTTGAACTTTTTCAAATTTTTAGATATGCAGAATTAGAAATACGTATTCTGTTTAGTTACGCAGTATACTAAATTTTTATTTTCGTAAAGATTGATTGATTTATTTTTATTTTACTGTAAAGATATTAAACTAATTCAATTTCTTTTCTTTCAAAATTCTTACCAAATGAAGATGAACGATGTTCTTTAATACTAGAAATTTAGATATGTAAAATATATCTAGTCCCACGACTTTTAACTGCTGATATTGTGGGAAATAGGCATTTAGCTTGTTTTCGTTTGAAGTTTAGAGAAAAATGCCGTTTTATTTAAAAATTAAAAAAATTATTTCAAAATCCATAGTTTTAAGAATTTCTTTTGAGATAAAATTAAAAGCCATATACTATGTTAAAAGTGCAGGATAAGCAACTAACTATACAATAATATTTTTAAAGATTGTACAATTTTTTTTTATTTATTATACGTTACTGTATTGTTTCTAATAAAGTAACATTCTTCTCCAGAATTAAGCCCCACCTGAAAATTTTAGATTACACTAAAACATGCCCTCTAACAAGATATTTAAAAAATAATAAAATTCATTCTTTTTCTCTTATATTTAGGTACTTTACTTTTTTTATATAAAAAGTCTTATCAAGTGAAGTCAAACAACGTTAAGTAAAAGTAAGAAAAGAAGTTTACACGGGGTGGTCGAGCAAGTCGCGACACAAAAAATAAAACAATAAATAGAAGATTTTAGGGTTATAGGGAAAAATACTGATTAGTGGTATGAGCTTGACAGGGCTATATCTCGGTAGGCGTTGATTTTGTTGTAAGTTGGTCTAAATTGATTTATTGTTATACAAGGAATGTCTAGTTTTACATTGTCCTTGGATTTTAAAGACACCCAAATTTAAAATATTTAAGTATAATAAATATGTAAATATCAAGCTCGTGTTGCTACAGATATACAGGATGGTCCAATATTCCGCATACATGTGCTGTTGACGTCAACATAAAACTATTTCCATTACGCGGCATCAAAGTTGGAAAAATTGTTACGTTGCTACTTTCTTTAAGACATAAGTTAATTCTTTAGTTAGAATTAATGCATATTCAATTAACTACTATTTAAACATTAATTTATTTCAGATAAAGGCAAATTAGTAATGCAATCTGTCACGGGCAACTAAATGAGTTGTATTAGATTGTCCTCACAAATGTTATAAAATGTTATTCAAAATAGCTTGTAAATAAATAAGTTCCGAACCATAAGTTGCTAGATATAAATAAAAATACGGTAATTTATTTCTCACTAATTCCTCAAAATTCGAATGTTAATATTCAGTACACCTATCAAGGGCAGACGTATTTAAAATTCAATATATGTCTCAGGATTTCAAAATATATCATTTAGCTGTGATAACTTTCTTAAGGCAGAGGTTAATTATTTTGAACGCATATAAAAGTAAGATTTTTAATATCCCCAAAAGTTTCACAGGAAATTAATGATATAAAGTATATTTTTGTCATTATATCTTGTTTCTAATTTATTAATCACGTGATTTATCCTTAAATTTTAATTCAGAAGTAAGCATAAATTTTAACCCACTATAAAGTTTTTTCCTAGTGGTACGTAGGTATCGCCAAACTGATAGCAGTTGATGTTCTCTATCTATCTAATTATATTTTTTATCTTATCCGTTTGATATTTAAATATTTACATACCACAAAAAATGACTAATATATTAGTTGTAACTACAATTCAAGTTATTAGCCTTCCTGCTAAGAATGCAATGGGATTTCCTGCTGCAAAATTCTATTGATCCTTTGTCTAATCTAAATGAAAATTTTTAACCTCATAACAGAGAAATATGTCTATGGGTCAACAAAATTAGTCATGCAGTGACTTCCTTTTTTTATTGCTTCGAAGTTCCATGCTCCTTAAAATACAGGGTGTTTCTTAAGTAGAGGTCAAAAATCCAGGTACGCATTCTGTGGTAATAAGGGTTTTTTGTTATATAAATGTGGGGTCTTAGGATAAACATTGCCACGCTACAGCATGTCAAAAATAAAAAAAAACAGTTTTTAATTTCTAAATTGTTTGAGATGACAGTAGGTATGAAATATTATATATTTTAGTTTGACTGCTCGTGAATTTTTAAATGAAAGATTCGATAATAACGTGATGGAACGAGACATTCACGAACCAGCTCAACCCTGGCCACCTAGGTCACCCGATATGAACCCTATTGATTTTTTTTGTTCGGGGACATCTCAAGACATTAGTTTACGAGGTTCACACTGAATCTGAGGAGCACTTACGTCAACAGATAATAGCTGGTTGTGATGTGATAAGAGCTACTCCTGGAATTTTTTACTTTTTCGAGCTGAAATTTCAAGATCTGAAACATTTAGGCTGAAAGTTGCCATTACCAACATTTGTTATAATAAATCATAGTAAATTCCATTGATGTTAATTAATTATTTTGCTATTATTTTAAGTAAAGTAATGATTATCGTAAAAATGCACTTGATTAAATAAATCAATTTTGTTATTAATCTGTTTGGAATATGTACAAAAGGGTATAAAGAAACAAAAAGTGAAGATAATATAATGGCACATATAATGATGAGATGAAGAAACACCCTGTATAATTATATTATATTTGGTGTAACAGTGAGAGCAAAGCAAAAAAAAACAAGGGCAACATTTATCGTAAATTGATTTTTAAAGGGTTCTACGTTCCTTTAAAAATTGAAAGTGGAATACAGTTTTTGAATAATAAATACGACACATTTAAATCGATAAATTTTCAAGAAAAGGTATTTTTTCAATAGGTTAAAAGAAAAATTTACAAAAAAATAGTGTAGTGTTGGCAAAAATCATTGCAGGATAGAAATGGCACAGTATTTAAAAATTTCTTCGACGTATCATCTAAAAAAAGCTTACTTATTTGACTTTTATATAGAATGTGGCAGTTTAAAATTTTTTATAACACCGGCAACACTGTATAGTCGAACTTCAGTTCAAAACGGACAAATAATGTTACGCACAAGAGTCTGAAACTTTAGCGGGTGATATGGAGACATATCGGCATACAATATGGTCGGCTACATTTGTTTATTCGCATGCGCAGAATTGGGTCGTCGGCGTTTCTGTTTAGTTTGATTGTAAACAATAAACATATCCGCAAAAATGATATTACCTCTAAAATCAATTGACATAGGTAATATATTTACTATTTTTTTTGTATGTGATGCCCAGAATATTTTTTTTTTGTGAAAATGGTAACGAAGTATTCTTTTAGAGAAAAGTAGTTCATATTTAATGTACATTCTCAGATAGTATCTAATATTTAAGTATATTCTCGGGAATAATTCTTTTTGTTGTAGAATTTAAACATCGTTCTTATTTTTGCCTGTATCTACAAATTATTTACTGTTTGCTG